ATTGTTTTGGCTTTCCACAGTAGGCTGGTGCAGCAGGCCTGTGTTTATCTGATCACATTGTGTCTACACTACACAGATCCATTGTGTATGCTCAGATAGACACCTTAGGGGACATTTGTAACATTCTGCCTCTCTCCTGTAGGTAAAAGGTGGTTTTAAAAACACCTTTGAATATACAGTAATGCAGTAACACAATAGTGTGACACAACACTATCAACCACACACACAAGCTAACAAGAACCTCAACAATCACGATAGAGTTGAATCAACAGCTCTCCGACACTGTCATGCAACTGTACATAAGTTGACATAAGAAATTCAGTGTGTTAGTCTTAATACTGTCAACAGTTTACCCGTCTTATAGAAAGTAATAGTAAATGTCATTGCGTCACATTTGTCTTTCTTGACAAATGATTTGTTTGCCAGACTTAGTAACTCTGCCCGTGACTCGCTTCTACTCACTATGAATTGCAAAATGTCGACCAGTACTTTCGGTATTTAGCAGCAGGGACCCTCATGTGGGGAAATTCATTAGGGCTCCATTGGAAAAGAATAGGTTCAATGTCCATCAGTGCCTTTGTATTCAGATATGTGGATGAACACGAAGTTCAGATGGGGGGAGGTTAGGGTAGAAAAGAGGGCTAGCTAGGACATGATGTGCACAGAGTGCACTACAGCACAAAGAGCACAGGCAGAATGCACATAAATTAGGAGCTGGCACATGGAGTATGGTATGTACACATTTTAAAATGGGAGCTGAAAAGGGAAGGAAGGAATGCGTACATGAGAAGATAAGTTTTAATTAGTACCAGTAACAATGCCAAACATCAAAGTCAATTAAGTTATTTCCTAATCAGCACATGTAATAGTCAGAGTACCATTATGCAATACATTTCAATACTCTTTTCAACAAAGAACTATTCTATTAGCAGTGACTTTTGTCTTAGTTCGAGTTCGATTCTTTATTTTACTTTGTGCACACCTCGTTGTGTTGAATACGATTCATCATCTTTCTGTCCTTCATGTTCTTGGCTACCTTTCACCATTCGTGCTCAAAGGAGACTAAATAAAACACGCTAATCATCCTCCAGTCTCAGATAAAGCTGCACAGGTTCTCCGCACTTTTCTGTGTGTGTCCGTTGGCTGACGTAGAAACCCGGAACGCTTCAAGTGCTTCTGGAATAAATTCCAATCCAACTTTCTGTCCGATAACGATCAATGACTAATATATTGGCATTGTGATGTTATTGTTGTCACGAATTGTTGAGTGAATGCTGAGATTCCATTCATGCCATTTGTGTTTAACAGAAAACAGCACGGCTCACACGTTAGTTTGATGTCAAACTTCTATTTAACTTTTAATATCCCCAATTTTTCCATCGTCACATGCCAGAGATGTAAGGCCAAAATAAAAGAAAAGGCAAAGATAAAGAGCAAAAGAAAAAGTGAGGGTGGAGGGAGAGCAGAAGGGGAGAAAGGGCAAGACCGACAGCTTGTCACCACCTGAGACCCGGCTTGCTGCCTGGGGATGTTTCCTTTACATAAGAACAGTGGGCAGAGTGGCAGCCCGAGAAATAAGGACACAAGACTAGCACACTGTTCTCAGCGCTTAACCAACTCCAGCAGTACGAAGTCACTTTCTTTCCATTCTAACGTACAGTACACAAGGACAGAGCTACACATGCAAACCATCATTCTCCAACCAACTCTAAAAGCCAGCTGTCGTTTCTGAACATACACACAGACGCAGGTCTGCAGGAAAAGAGGCACATGAAGGCAATAACGTATAATGAGAAAAACACAGCTCATGAAATATAACTCCTTACTTTTAGGAGTTCATAAACAGGTCATTGCAAATAAATTTAGTTTCTCCGTCTAAGCAATTATTGAGTTATAAGAAGTTATGGATTATTAGTTTTAACAGAGCCATTAACGCAGAACAAATGTCTTCTTGGAGAAAAAGTGCATAAACCTTTCACAACACCAAAAGCAGTCATCTGGCATGACCTACGGGGACGGCAGCGGTGAGCGTCACAAGTTTTGAAGCACATGAGAGGAGAAACTAATGAAACATGGCCGTCAGTGGCCCCTGGAGTGTGCTTTCAAACAACTGTTGCCAAGGACAATAACAGGAACACATGTGGTCTGGCCAGCACAAAGCAAAAAAAAACAAACAAGAAATGAAAATATGCTTGAATTAAATGCGTTTCAGTGAAAGAGATCAAACTATAACCAAGTGTAAAAACAACGTAAACAAAACTGTTACAGAGAAAAAAAGTCTCATTTGAAGGCTTCAGCTTCGACAGAGATTTAGAAATAGGTGAGAGGTGACGTGTATAAGTTATTCTTGTTGAAGGACTGCTTACACCACCGACATTAGGGGTTCATGGGACTGTTATTATGCCCTTGACCATGTTTTACAAAGACAATACTTCCGTGAGGGCTTACCTTTGTGATCAGAGTGCGGTACTCTTCTACCTGGTGGTCATTGTTGTGGCAGCCTGCCAGGAGCTGCCACACCTCCCCGCGGAGAGCCTCGGGAATGCCGCTCCGCACCAAAGCCGGCAGCGGCCTGGGACGCACTGATAAGTTCATATGCCTGAGGAGAGAGAGAGACGTGACAGTTAATCAAAGACATACTCATTTTATTTGCGCCAGATTCTTGCATATCTGCAATCTTTGTGGGCACGCCCGTGTACAATATCTAACGAAAACATTGTATCCATTGTGTCTCAAAAGGAGCATCCTCCTCTCTACAGATGATCATGACAGTGAGGAGGAGTTGTATCATCTAATAGAACAAGAATAGGGATTAACGGGCCTATAGCGGTCTTTCAAAAGATCCAGTCTCACCTACCACAAAGGATACAATCAATCAATGAATCTAATCAGAATACAAAATATGTGCTGCTTTTGTACAGTATCCATGTAATTCTCAACTTTAAAACTTTTCCCCCTCTGGCATTGGTACATAAGTTTTGCTGTATTTGTTTCTATGCATATATTTAGCAGGATGGGGAAGACAATAGACAATAGAAGACAATAAGCCAGTGAAAATTACAGCAACAATACACAGAGGGCAAGTTTTAATGCTTTCCTTCCTTCCTCATCTTCACATTTACATGTCGAAGCCGTTGGCAAAACACTGCCTCTCGGAGAGTGATTTACACCGTATGCACTATAAAATGAACTCCGGTTATCTTCCATTAGTGAGTGGCAGAGACAGAATTAGAGAGAAAGAGAACTTGGAGGCACAGCTGTATCTACCTAACAGAAAACCCCTGGACCCCTGATGACTGTCTCCCCCTTTCTTAATACACCCCTCTCCATTTTCTGAGTTTGTTTGGTGCGTTTGTTTCCGAGTATCAGGTTACGCAATACATGGCATTTTCTATTGAGACTAAAAGGGAACAAAAAGTATGCTGTGTACCTTTCCGTGTGCATGCATGTGTGAGTGCATATGACGTAAGTAATGCCAGGTCTGGTCCTCAGGGGTATGAGATTGTAAAGGGCTTTCTGTGATTTGCCTGTCTTTGCTCCCTGAGCGCCGTCTCCCACAATAACACACAAAATCACCAATCGCTCGCACAAAGCCTAGTATTATGACAGGCTAGTCTTAGGATTCCTCTCTTTACTTAGGCATTATCCTTATCAGATATGCGAGGCAAATACTCCCCAACACATTCAATGTTCTAACGGTGACGTCAACATTGTGTATTGTCCAAGAACATTAAAGTCAAATATAGCAGGTAGTGAAGAAGTATTGTACAAATTCAACTAAATTATACTATTCTCTTGAAAAAGATACATGAGCACAGACAGGGAGAAGAGAGAGGCGCGTGTGTGTGTGTGTGGAGCTTAACTTGCAGCTAATTAAAGTCCGAGCAGTTTCAATTCAGTTCATCACAAGCTTTTGATTAAAAACAAATGCAGTAATGGAAGTGGGACGCCATCTTAATAAGCTGCTTATCAAGAACTCCTGCTTGCTGCTCTTTCTTTCCAATACATCCGCTAAACCCCCCCATACAAAAATGTGGTGTGTGTGTGTGTAACAGCAATAGAAGGTGAAGGACACATTTAACAAGGCAACAAAGCCTTACCACTTGGTTAACAAGTCCCCCCAGGTCTCCAGGATCTTCTCTGCACACTCCTTGGAAACATCACCTGACCCGCTGAGTAACGGCTCATCATTATCTGGACACACAGGTGTACAAACGCAAAATGAGGTCCATTCTTCTACTTTTCCTTCTTACGCATTTAGATTTGACCTTTAACTGCTCCAAATTAACTGCTAAAGTTCCCTACAGCTCATGCTCATGTGAAATGAAAGTGATTAAATGAATGCGAGGACTTAAGATATAGATGTTTCCTCATTTAAAGACAGTGTTTTATATGGTGTGTATAGTCAGTCACAAACTTCCTGCTTATTTTTGGTCACAAGATGGTGCCAATTGGACATGATAATATTTATAGAACTTAAACTGCAGCCGTCTAATAAATAAACATGCATACGCAGATGTGGAACTTTATGTCTTCTATTTGAACTATTTTTGATATCTGCTGAAAAGCGGTACTATCTTAATGTACTCTGGTATCTATTCACAACAAGAAGCGAGGAGCAATCAATGGACATGCAGTCCAAAGAGTGAGATCAAACTGTGCCAAAGGGCTAAAGACTAAAAAAAACAGACGGATACAAAAAGTTCCTCAGTCATGCTCTCTCTTTGCTACCTCCAACAGTCACGCAAAAACACAACAACTCACACACTGCTGCTGGCTAAGTATTCTGTGTGGATACAGTACAAACAGTTCTGTAACATAGTGTTTGATCAACCACACAGGGTTATTACTTTTATTATTGTGTTTTTGGAGACGCCAGCTTCTTACTGAAGTCAGTCCTGACCAAGGACACCACGATGGTTCGGCATTGCAGAGTCAAACATTTATGTTATCTTGCCAGATCAGCGTCTGCTTTGAGGTCGTTTGTGTCTGACCTGATCAAGTACAAGTGGTTCAAAAAAGTTAAAACCGTTTTCATATGACTCTGCTAGTCAGCCTTCTTCTGTGGTTCTATGTGGACATGTGTGCGAAGGAATCTCTTCATATTTGCAGAAATTACGACATTTGCCATATCAGGAATTTGATGTTTAGTAACATATTTGCTATTCTTCTGTATTGTATTCCATTAATAAAATAAGGATGTCATAAAAGGGAGGCTTGACAAAAATCCAATCACCTTCCTCTTCATCATCCTCAGGTGGTGAAGTGACCGTGTTACCGGTCCCGGAGGCCATGATGCCGGGACTAGCTGTGGTCTTCCGTTTCTCTCTCTCAGTCTCGCTTTCCAAACTCACCACCTCATAAAGTGTGTCGGAGGCCGGACTCTTACGCTCCTTACGCTCCATCTGAGGAGAAACGATCAATCACATTTCTCTTTCAAATATTACCGAGCAATTACAAAAATCACAGTGTATTAACAAAACCGGTTTAGTTGCATCATCGCAGGCCACAGCTGACGTACGGCACAATTCACAGAGGAAATGGAAATTGGTGTCATGACTTGACATACCTGTCGCAGTCTAAGGTAGAAGGTCTCAGTGTAGTTACGCTTGCTGAAGGGCCAGAACAGCCTGTCATTTGGGGAGCAGACTCTGACCCTCGTCTCCAGCAGGAAACGGACCGGCTCCTCCACCTCTGTGATCACCAGGTCCACTGCTGTCGTCATGTACATGAACTTATCTGGAAAGCAAGAAAACGGCTAAAATGTTGTCCCCCAGAGAGTAATTCCCTTCCATTCGCCATCTATAACAAATACATATTCAAGCCAAACCCTGTAACTGTGCAGTTTAGGAGAACACTGGAGTTAGACTTATTGTGTTTGCAGGTGGATTGGTGGTGTATAATGTATGGTATATGGCACAAGGTTGGAACAAAGGCGGTGCCTGGGTCATTTGGTTTTTTCATTTTTCAGCTATATTTATGAGTGATCTGTTCAAATATTGTAGTTCCTGCTTTATATTGTAACAGTAGTTCTAACAGGAATGGCAATTATTAAAGTACAGTTTCCATGCCTAATAAGTGTAGCTATAACTGAACATTAAATTGCTCCTTCACAGCTTGATTTGAGGATTTGTGTAACCAGTGCAAAGTGATTTTCACGCTTGGAAATGCGTCGTATATTAGTGTGAAAATATGTGAGAATAAACAACCAACGAACCCATGAAATAATAACTGTTGAAAAATCCGTTTTATGTGAATTTTGACAGATTATTGGCCGTTACCTTTGGGCGTTTCCTCATTCACAGGCTGGAACTGAGGCGTGTTGGGGTTCCAACTTCCTGTGATGATGTAAGACTTCCCGTCGGAACTCTTTCCCATTGACTCCTGAAGGTGCACAAGTTGGAGGAAGTTAGCGAACACACTCAGTGACACACACACATATACAGTACACACATGAAAAACAGTCACCCACCAGATCTAGCAGGTGCATGTCGCTGTTCTTCACATTTTTCCCTGGGCTGAGCAGGAGGCCGAAACACCTGGGAAAGAGGACACACATGAAAGCACACAACACACACACACACAAATGCAAGAGAGAGGAAGGTGAAATTAATAGGATTACATAAGTAAAAAGGGAGGAAAAAAAAAAAAAAAGGAACAGTGCAAGAGCGGGAACTAGAACTATAAATCCCCCTAAAGAGCAAAACCAGTTCTTCACCATCACAAGTTACCGCAAAAAGCTTCCTGGACTGATCCTCTAACACAGACCAGAACATGGAGAATATTAAACACAGCCCTTCAGTCCTCATATTCCCGGCGTTCATCAAACAATAACAAACCACCGTGAAAATGGAAGCCTGCAAAAAAAAAAAAAAACCTCGGAGACAGACTCGCATCCATCAGCATCTTAAAGCTGTGCCGGAACACTTAAACCTTGAGGCGGGCCAACGCCCGGATGTAAAGATGTTCACCGGTGTGTGTTTATCAATTATAGCTTGAGTGATTCCTTTCTTATGAATGTCTGTTTTAAGCAGAGACACATCTCAACTGAAGCAAATGGAGGACGGTCTGACAGATACGTGACAAATTCTCTTTTTCCTTTTAGGACAATTCCAGACTGACAAACATTTATATCCTCCATTCCCTTGGCTGCTTACATTAATCTAGACTATGGCACCGTATAGCAAACCAGTGCCTCTGAGGACGCTACTCTGAACCGATTCACTAGATGTAGTGTGTGTGTGTGGGTGCTTTATTTTACCTCTCAATAGCCAGTTCCTTATTGGAGGTCTGCTGGACATAAATAACAATTTTCTTGTCCATTCCAGCACGCAGCTTGAAGCTCTGCTTGTCCTTTGCTACAGCACTGAATATGCAAAAACAAGAAATAATATCCACATTTTTAACAGATCATCAATAGAGAAAACAGACATGAATGTGACAAAAACATACAGATGTTTGAAAGGGACACAGTGAGGCAAACTCATACCTATTACACATCATTCAGACCTTATTTTAGAAGATAATCCTATGAAATGAAAGACATTTTGAACACAGGCTTACAGGTTGTTTAGTTCTGGACTGGGAAGGAAAACAATAATCCTGCAGTTTCTAATTTTTATACAAACTAGCACATACAACCTGACCAATGAAATGTATTTCTAGTCAGTCAATCAGCCAGTCTGACAGACCATGGCTCATAATCAAAACAGACCCATTTCTCCTAATAAAAAAAAAAAGTGTGCATAAGAGCCATTTTCAAACGTGCTTTGGCACTGGTTCTTCTCCTGCTCTGCTTTCGGGGCTGGAAAAGAACCAGGTTTGAGACAAGAAGAGTAATCAACATTCTCCAAACTTTCCCAGAAATAAATTCCTGAGGAAACACTGAAGAAACCCTTAGATACAAAGTTTCTGAACATTAATCAATTTGAAATATATTGCAAACATTTGGAACCTGCCATGATCTCAGGCAGTGCTCGAATCACAAACACCTGTCTCTTTTGAGTAGAGACTTAATGTACCAGATACAGTTTTATGCAGAACTATATTATCAGACTGAGTCATGGTTTTACCCTTAAACGAGAGCCTGCAGATAAACAGGCTTATTTACAGACTATTAAAAAGGAACAATGATTTAAATATATTCCACTTCAATTCTATGTTACAGATATTCTACTGTATAAATGTACAGTTTCTATAGATTATTCATTCCAGTTATGGAAATGATTCTGCCACATAAACGTGTGATGTGCTTGCATGTGAGAGCTGTTTGCTTGGAAGTCAGCGCATTGAAAAATAATCAACGGAGAGCTAATGAGGAGGAAATATGTGCTGGCTAAAAATAACCACAGGCATCATTTTCGTTTGGTTTATTTTCTAAATAAGCTGAGTGTCTGTTGGGCTGTTTGTGAACACAAGGAAGTGTCTCACTAGTATGGGAAAATAAATAAAAATAAAAAAAGAGGTCAAGGAAGGTTGGCTGAAAGGAGCAAACAGGAACTTTCTGTTGTGTTCTCTTGTGTGGAAATATTTATTTATTTAGAGGGGTCAACATATCGGTCTGCTGTAAGACAGAGAGGACTTCTTGTGATATTTTTATGATGTTTCTTTTACTGACGCATCTTTTTGCATATAAACCAATAAGAGGATTCTCCCCCTCGTTGGTAGTATGCACCCCGGAAAGCTCTTTACGTATTTTGTTAGAATTTGTGGTGCAAATACTGGAAATCGAATTTTTAACGATGATGCTTAAGGTTTCTATACATTTTCCAATTTTTCTAAATGCCATACAACACTGGTTATGTTTTGACGATTAAAGCTGGTGTTCAGTACAGATCTGATGACGGAGACTGAACAGTATGCCCTCATCCACAGTACATCAAATTCATGCATCTCCGGCAAAAGCCGCAGTAGACTCAACAGAAAAAGAAAAAAAAGACGTTTCATTATGTTTCCAGACGTCTGCGCAACTACAAAGTATTTCAAGACGAGGAATTACGCGTTCATTTTTCACCTTTTAGACCACTGTGTAAGCATCATACATGATGATCCCGTGCTCAAAACGTCGAAATGAGTGAATGCAAGTCTCACCTGAAGGTACCCTTGCCATCATCCTCCTTGATCTCCAGACTGACCGTGAAGGTAAACAAGTCACTGTCAGGGGTGAGCGGTGCAGGCTGCTGAGATGACAGAACTGCCTTCTTAGCTGACCGCCGGAACGCCGTGGCAAAGCTGTACAGTATCCTACTCACCTGGAGGAGGAAGGGAGAGACACATTAAACATTTCATAATGAACACAAAATGTAGCCACGAGAATTGGTGAGGCCTAAAAGTACAGATATGAAATTCTATAGTTTGTGCTTAAATAGGAATTCATGATTATTATTATTATTATAGCATTGGTGAAATTAACACTACTCTCCTGTGCCAATGGCCCCCGTTGCCTTAAGTCAAAAACACAGGCAACATTGACAAGTTGGTTATCTAATTAAAGCGGAGATCTAATAGAACACATCCACTGAAGAGATAAACAGTATCGCAAGGCAAAATATTATAGTTTGACAAAAAGTTGAGCAGCTTCTGCAGATGAAATGTCTTGCAAACCATAAAATTGGGGTTTTGAAACCCCAAAAAAAATCCACACCAGGCAAAATAATGATAAAGTAATTAGTACCGATTCAAAACTCAGCAGATCTGTTATGTCATTTTGCAATATGCGACACTAAAAAGCTTACCTAGTGACCCACTACTCTATAAACCATCTTGAGCTTTAATCAACACACTGATTCACATTTGCCAGTGTGGTGTGTGTGGAGCTATTGTTCCTGTTCACACTAAGCAGAGACAACAAGGTTCTGCTCAATCTCCCATCCCAAAGAGGAGCAGAGTTTGGGGGGGGGGGGGGGGGGCAGCTGAAGACTGCCAAGTGTGGAAAACTGTGGGGTAATGATGTATTTACATTTATCAAATGTACTTTTCCAAATTTGTGAGCTTTGCATTTCGTCAAGAAGAAGTATTTTATTTACCTTTTGATCATTACTGCACAGACATGTGTGTATGATGACAAACAGAGCCAGAGTTTTCAAGGCCAGAGTATAAAGCAGCTCCTGATCTGTCCTACAAAAAGCCTTTGTTATGTTCTTGGTACAGTAAAATGATGGAGGGCATTGCAAGGGGGATGATTATTTAAAAAACAACAGGGGGCTGGATGCAAGAGATGAGCAATGAAGTGGGGAGTTAGGCTGGGGGGGTCACCCCCTGTCTGGATGAAGTTATGACAAATATCACAAAAGGATTGTTGGTTAATGTTCCAATCAATGCTGGAGTCTGAACTGATCCGTTTCGACTGGCTACAAATGGCATTTTTATTCTTTGTGTGCAGTCTGAAGGAGGTGTTTTAGGACCTGGACAAAATATCAATCCTGACAAGCAAGTTGGGCAGATATTGGCTATTGTTTTTAAATATACCAAACTGTAGAGGAAACAGTTTTTAATTACATGCAGCGTTTTGGAATTAGCCTTTAAGATCTGGAACTTGTAAAGTGTTAAAGGGTGCATTGTTTTATTTACCCCGTACAGGATTTTCATATTTCTTCCTACTTGGCAGCATTAGCTTTTAAGAACCCAAATCATTTGAGTGAAACAAATCGACTGAAACCGTACCGATTTGAACACTAGACATCTCTGGACGGGAGCAGCAAGTTTATGGGCACAAAAGGGAAGCGTTAGGTTTGAGAGTCAGCAGGGCTCTACGTCAGTCGGCCCGAGGAGGTGGTTTGCTTTATGCAGGAACAGTTCAGCTCCAAAATCCACAATGGTGACTTTGTCTTAAGTTCCTTAAATTTCTCTTTCAAAATTGTCTTTTTTTTGGTAAATTGTTGGTAAAGAATGCTACAGATCCTCTTCAAAATCTGATTATAATTCAGTGTATTGCTGAAAGCAAAATGAGACGACAGCTCACGAGGTTACCTCAGTACAGATCGGTGGTGAAATAAATGAATAAATACAGAGGTTTAAAAAGCCTCAGAAGTTGTTCAAAGTTGATTTGAAACTGATGTGAGGACTATGACTAGCAGCCAATGGGCTGATTCACTCCAGTCTAATGGTGCAAATGTGAGGCCCCCCAAAAAAAGCTGAAGGCATTGCAGATGGTTCTGGTGCTGGGGGGTTAAGAAGGAAGAAAAGGACGGTTGCATGAGGAAGGCTGTGGGGAGGAAGAGAGAGCCTGAGACAGAGATGTCCAGTTACTAAGTAAAGAAGTGAATTACTACTGGGAATTATGTTTGTTGGTTTGTGTGTGTGTGTTTGTATGCGTTAGTGTTTTAGTGTGAGCCTTTGTGTTACGGGTGGGTGTCTGAGAAACTGGATCGAAGGACGATGTGGGACTGATAAAGTAGCATCTGTCTCGGGGCTCTCAGTGACATTGAAGGAGAGTGCTTCCATGAGGGAGAAATCAGGTCACTGAGCACTGAAGTAGTACTTTAACCCAGTTTCATGAGTCGATTCCCTATTCTCTTCTACTATATTTTCTGCTGAACCTACTGTATATAAGCAATGACACTTCCTCTCCCCTATACGTTAGCTTGGGGTATTGTGTGTACTTTATGTGTATGGTGTACATGTGCACTGTTGCTGAACCCTGGAGAGCAGGCTACAGGGAAATCAACACTTTAAGGCAAGGTCAACCAGAATACTGCCATCAATGAGTGTGTACACTCGTGTATAGGTACGTGAGTGGAAAACAGAGTGTCGTGTGAAATGCAGACTATTTATAAAAGAGGCTTTTGCTCCTTCTTTCATTACCGATTTTCTTTCGGTATGTGTGAGTTTGTGTTTACAGATAGGTTCAAACCATAGCCAGGTGCCCATATGAACAAAGCCACAGTCCATGTTTTGTGTAAAAATGTACTCCAATGTTTATCTGAAGCTAAAGTTCCCATTAAAAACACAGAGGATCTCTTAATAACTATCGTTTTAAGACTCAAATCATTTTGAACCCATCCGTTAAATGTGTCTTCAGTTCATATAGTTACACATAATGAAACAACACCTAAGTGATTGAATCCTCACCGCTTCTTGGATTTGGCAGCGGAACACATGGATCCTGAAGATCTCCGCATTGTAGTGGCTCTCAGTGAAGGCAAAGCAGTCGCTCTCTGGTGTGCCGTCATGGCCTCGCACGCAGAACAGAATCTTGTAGATGGGGTAGTTGGCGATCTCCGTACTGACGTTGGGGTCCAGCAACCTGTTATAAATATAAATGAAAAATGAACCACGCGATATCTTGTAAAGTCGCTGTTGCAGGATGAGATTTATTCTGTGCGTTTGTGCGAATTACATCTTAAAGTACACTGTAGAAGTGGAACCGGTAATCCAAATGTTCCCCCTACCTGACAGTGCCTTCGGACACGCCTGGCACAGACAGTGTGACGTCTAGGGGGAGTTGGCACTGCCCTCTGAGGATACTCATCATACGGAGGGCCTCCACCTCACTGCGGGGGGGCGTTGACTGAGGCGCACCCAAGGTACGTCAGCTGGCTGAACACAACGCTGTCCTCGTCTGGGATGGGACTGCCGGGACTGCCGTCTGACGAGGATTCATCTGCTGCAATAGGGTTAACGGATCGGGAGAGAGTAGGAGAAAGGCGTACTTTTGAGTGTCCTTTATGATTTAGAGAGCCGGGTGCTTCCATGATATTACTCTGAATATCTTGGAAACACATCTATAAAGCTTAAGATAAGAGTCATTGTGTGAGCTTTGGCAGTCACAAGAAAAGAGGATAAGAAAAGTCCCATCGTGGCTCACCTCGATACGACCTCTCATTCAGCTCGCTCTCCTGAGCCGTCTGAACAGGAAGCACCATCTCCAACTTGGGCAATTGTGCGCTCAGGGGGTCAGAGCCCGGCGGTACGGGTGACGCCATAGTGGCGAGTGGGCCACGGTCGCCCCCACCAAGGTTGTCCATTCCTGTGTCTGATCTGAGCCCGGTGTCGGCTACCGATGGGTCCATGAGGACATCCTCTAACTCCCTCTGGAGCTGCTGCTCACTTCCATTCCCCACAATCTGACACACACACACACACACACACACACACACACAAACAGAAGGGTATACACACACACACACACACACACAAACAGAAGGGTATACACACACACACAGAGAAACAGACATGAATACAACCACACCAATGAACAAAGAGAAAGGGAAGCATAGAAAACAAAGCATATAATATGAAAAAACACAAGAACAAATATTGTTGCATAACAAAATCATTGTAGAAATCACCACTACACATTTAATTTAAGCTAACCTTTAAACCTACATCAACGGGATTACAATTCTATTTTACAGTTTGAATGCTCAGTGGCTGTGCTTTAAACAGGGATTTTGAAAGTATTGTCAAGTGAAAACAGTGTTTAAGGGGGAAAGACGCCTCATTTCATGTTGGCGGTCAGAGATACATCTCCATTACATTTCATCAAATATTAGTGATTAGTAGGCATGTGAGTTGGAGTTGTGAAATACCGCTATCAAGACACGAGGCGAGCCATGCCGACACTAACTGTGTGAGCTTGTTCCAAAGCTAACGAACAGCAATCAAAGTGCAGGCTTAAGGCTGGACGGACTATGGAGGTGCCACAAAAGGCAGTGTGCCCTCATTTCCCCTGCCAGCTGTGGCTGCAGCCAGATGTTAAGGTAAGCAATGGAGGCTGAAGCTGCAGAGGGCACTGTTGCACTGGGCCATAAGGGACAGGAACAGACGATTAAAACAAGATAATCAAAACTGTGTGGAATATCATTATTGCGTGGTGGAATATTCTGGTTACATGTTCTATGTATAGACAGCCATGAATAATATTTGTGCCTTTCGGTACATGGTAATGTGTTCAATGCTGTTAGACTCAAGCGATCATCTGGAGCATGATGGACACTACAGCTAAAGTGTCTATGCTAATAGCCCACAGCGCCAAATAAGGGAAAAAAAAAAAGGTAATAATTTAAAGGCTGACGTAAAGCTGTCAGTTCTAAATATCGGTTTACACGTCTGACATAACTGCGTAGGGCCTTGTGATTTACAGAAAGTGCTAAAAGCATGTGTAATTGCCAGATACAACTACAGTCCTATGTGTGAAAATGTCTATCGCCACTATAATCAACACCTAAGTCTTAAAAAAAAGGCTGGCTAAGGCCATCCAAAAATACAGAGGGAACAAATAATCACAGACAGAATTACCACGGAATCACATCACAGAAAGAGAGGAACAATAGAAAAGACAGAAGCAAGAAGGAGAGACAGAAAGAAGAGACAGCTAGCGAGAGAAGAGACTGACCTTAAAGCTGACCCCTTCCTCAGAAATCACCTGCATAACAAACAACAAGTTTAGACACACTGACTCCTCTCTGACTGGATGGGCTGACTGGGAGGGAACTGTACACAAAGTGTGATGACCGAGTGTCCGTGAATGGAGTGAGTCCGCTACGTATCGAGAACAGCGGACGTGTGTAGGTTCCTGCCGTTTAGCCGCCACTAGGCTACCAAAAAAAAAAAAAAAAAAACTGATAATTCAACGCGGTTCCCATTAAAAATAGTTTAGATCCTTTCACAAACTCTGTACAGGTGTAACAGGAAAAATCACAGTGTTTCATATCCAAGCACAGCAAATGATGGTCGACCTCTTCCCTTCAACTGAATACTGCAACATCCACGCTCTGCTGGCGCCATCTTCTGGTACCTTTTGGTACAACATCAAGTCGACAAGTTCTTCCTTTACAAAGAAACACATGTACAGTAGAGTACAGTAATGACAAACTAATGGACAGAGTATGGACATGTGAGCCAGCTACTTAAGGAAATTCAATAAAATGAAGTGTGATGACGAGTAAACTGACATACACGAGGAGAGGAGAGGGGAGAGGAGAAACCTGAACCCTTTAGGGACACACACAGGATGCTAGCTGGTAGCTACATTTCTTTCCTCAGAAAGTCTTCCCTCTCCTTGTGGAGACACACCCTGGTCACAAAACATCTTTATTTCCGACCCCGACCATGTCTTCAAACACTTGCAGCTGCATCACCAAACTGTTTGTAAACTAATATCTGCTGAGTGAACAGAAGCAGCTGGGTGACTGCAGAAGAGAGATGTTTAACTTTGCTGACACTAAATGAAGAACTGGTAAAGTATCAGCTGGATTCTTCAGCCGTTTGATTTACAAGGATGACCTTTCTTTTCCCCTAACCTCATACTATTTCAATAATACGGATAATCATGGACAGACATACAGTGGAAGAACTCGGGGTAAACAGATGTAAATCTTCACAGGTCTAAGAGATAAGAACAAGTTCTTCACTACAATCAAAGCCTGTGAAAATGTGCTCTCAATTTCTGGTGATGTGCAAGGAATAAAGGGCTTCCTTACTATAAGACAACCACAGATAGAACACACACACCTGAGACCAACTATGAGAAGAAGGTGGAGTGAGAATGTGGGGAAAGCAAAACAAGAAATGGTTAGCCTTATGGTTAGAGTGTGAGACTGCATGTTTAAAAGATGGACGAGACTTGTAAACAATGGAATGTGTGTGGACCGAGTCCCCTGACCTGCAATGTTAACAGGTTACACTGATGACAACTAGGTAAAGACACAATGAACATCAAGATGTTTTGGTAAATATGATACGATACCATTTAGCCTGCAGCGCAGTCTGGCCTGTTATCCTACTAGTACTGTACAGCAGTTGTCATATTTCAGGACCAGATTGTGACCATCATCAGTATTGAGCATAGAGATGATATTCACACCAGCTGAGCTAGTAATTGATGCCCTTGAGGTTGTTATCACAGACTTTTACTCCCAGCATCTTAACATCTGACGTCTCTCCTCAGTACCTCTCCGTCCATACCTACACCCAACCGTCCTTACCTTCAGTCCTGTCTTTTCGTCATCACTACCATTATTAGTGGAGGAGGGTGTCTCATCCCCCAGCCGGGACACGAGGACAAAGTCCTCACTGTTGAGTGTGGACACTGAGTCCGAAGACACGCTAATCTTCCCCACCGAGCCCTTGTCATCCATGGCTTCCGCAGTTAAACTCAGCCACGCCGCTCATGAATGGAAGACGGGAGGAGAGAGTGGTGGGAGATGATGAGCAAAATCACCTGGGAAAAGAACAAAAAAAATAAAGAAATGAAGAAAAGAAGCAGAAAACAGTCATGATGTGATGAGACCCATGAAAAGGCATCATTTAAGGCAACTTCTTAAGACTCTAACCCTCTCATAAAATGGGCAAAACCATTTGCTTTTAAGCACCTTTAGGACACTTTGAGGAGCCTTTAGGAACCCCGGAGAGAGAGAGAGAGAGAGAGAGAGAGAGAGAGAGAGAGAGAGAGAGCTTAAAGAGAAAATAAGAAAGGTTTAGCACCAAAAAAAAGAAGCCTAGATCAAGTGATAGTGAACATGAAGAAGAAGACGACACGGGACAGATAAGAGGAAAAGAGGATCTGTGGGTCATCTGAGGCAAATTTGTGTATCTCAGCAGAAAAATAGCTTGATGCGATGCGAAGTCATGGTGACAGGGAGGAATTAGGGGACAAGCCAGCTCGCCACAACCATCCACATATTCCGTGTCAGTATTATAAAGATCTATTGTACAGCAGAAACAAAAACACAAAAACAAATCATAGCACTGAATGTGCTGATTGCATTGCGTGCACTCCTCAGTGCATGGATGTCCAGCCCCCACAACCACAAATAGACCTAGATCCTGTGGGGGAAACGCTGCACATCATCAGCTCAGCCCTCACTCTTTTGACTCCAGCAAATACATTTTAACATGGTATTATAATTTGGGCATAAAGCGAGCTATCAAATATGACATTTTGTAAGTGCATCACTGACCTACGCACCTGTATGTGAGAGGACTGATGGCAGAAAATACTTGCAGAGACGAAGCAAGAAATTGAAATAAAAGGAGGAAAGTATGTTTCACTTTTTACCTCCAGCGGCAAAGGAAGAAAACATTTTTAGTCTGTATTTGTAAGGTATGGAGGTAAAATTAGGTTCAGAATTAGTTTTACAGTCAGAATGATGCAACGCTCCATCGGTACAGTTAGGGCATGAGGTGGCATTGTGGGTAACACAGGAAGAAAGGCGCAACAGAAGGTTCTGGCAGCGGTTCAGCAAGAGACCATAACAAGCTATTTCTGGCCATTCCCCCCCCTCTCTCCACTCCTCCCTCCCTCCCTTTCTCTCTTTTCTTCTTCATCCCTCTCCGTGCAATCTTGTATTTTCTCAGCCCTTATTGCGCTCCTACATTTTTCCTGAAGGTTTCCTTTGCAGTTTCTTTCCGCTTTGCTCTGCTGTCAAACCCCCGCCCTTCCTATTCAAAGCGGGTCCAACAATGGAAAAGTAATAATAAAAGAAAGGTCTACAGCAGAAAGGTCAAAGCAGTTAATAATGTGCTTGTGATAACATTGTTGTACTGACCCAGAATAAACCTCAATATGAGGAGCTATCTGTGTGCGAGTAGAAGGCTTTACAGCATCTTGTGCAGATATGAATGTTATTACCGGGCTACCAAACACAAACGGACGGCTCAGAGCTTCTTCTCTCTTCACCTTTTTCAAAGCAAACGGAGAAAAACGAGCCGCTGGTTTTCATCCAAAAGTCCCGGGTGTTGTTTTTCACTCGGGTTGCAAAACTGAACTTGAGAGACAAGGTCACCGCGTTCGGTGATTTCGTCACTTTCACTGTGAAACATACTGCAGTCAGGCTCTGGAACCTGTGCTTGACAATTAGCATCTAGAGAACGCAGCTTAGCCGACCAATTATGAGTCGTGTAACTTAAAGGTTTCACATCAAATGGTTCCGTTTACATGGCCAGAAAAAGATATAGTGTTGTCTTCCAGTTGTTGTGTTTACACCGACTTATTACAAATGACCCAAGAGAAGTAATAAAGAAGTCATGTGGCTTATCATATAGGCCTAGATCTGTAGTGATTCTTCCAAAACCCCGAATGAGCACTCATCTTAAAGCCCCTGATTAAACCTCCTTTCAGGACTACGTTGTACGGACTTATTGATCGACAACACCTGAGTCACATCCCGGGCCTACCACCTGCTTGGATGTTCAGTCTAGCAACAGTCACACATTTCTTCATACATAAATATACAAGTTGCAGGGTAGAGTCGATAAATGATCGTAAACCTACCAGTGCAAAAGAAATAGAGCATCTGACTCAGTAGCAATCCATAATGGAAATATGCATCACTCCTCATCCTCCTGATCTTCTCAGGCTGTTAATCTTGAAGAGACATTGCAGATGTTTACTCTACTTTTGGCTAAAAGCAGCTGCATTCCATTTTTTAGCGCACTTGTTTAGTTCTTATTTCTCACATTTTGGTTGATGCACTTTGAGTTTCTCCATGTTTCGGTCTTTTGTTTATCAGTTCTGTTTCTTCTTTGATAGATGTACTATATGAAAGCATTAGAACAATTTCATGGAAACAAACTAAGCAACACAATTTAATTTATTAGTCCTATTTCCAATTACAATTATGAACAAAACTGACTAAATAGGCCTTTCTTCAGTCCTTTACTTTCTTAAAGGCTCTGAGTAGCATCCAATAGATACTTAGATAGTCCTCAAATGTTAATTATGTCAGCTAATAACACCCGTGCGCTACGGGCCGAGAGAAACATGCAAATCTCAGTGAAATACTGTTTTGTTAGAAATATAAATGAGAGAACGGCCAAACTCGTTTTCTGGCCACCATGAATCTTACTTAGACTAGATCACTACTTTGTTACCCAATCAATCATTTCACTGGAGAGCGACGTAGACGCAGAGACTTCAAAAATTGCAACGTTATCTGAGAACGATGGCAATTAGCTTCACTAATTCATTCATGTTCCGAGCAGCAAACACTTAAAACTCTATGAGCCTACGCAGTCGAGCCAAGACGCACACAAAATGTGGTTTCATGCTGGCACACACACACATACCCTACACACACGTGCAGAAGCAGCTGTATTATTATTACACACACAACTTGACCCGCAGACACACGTGTGCACGCGTGCTCACACAACCCTCACACTCTACGTCTGTGACTAGCTCATAACGGTCGCCTTGTCACCCTCCCGAGCCTCGGCAACATCCGTCCGCCTACTCCTGCCAAGCTACACTGCTCCTTATCAAGGTCTTCTGTGTCTTGGGACGTTTCCAGCCAGACGCACAATCCACTGCCTATCATGCTTCTTCTGACTGTTACAAAATTAGCAAGACGAGGGCAGCAGACCGTTTCGTCATTCCCTCTCACTATTTGGTCTCCAGCCACACCCTCTCTGTTCCTTCCCTTGCATCTGCTTCATTCTTTGTTTTAAATAATTGAATCTTAATTGGAAATCGTATCGTTCCCGTTTTCTTTGACTATTCTCTGAAAGTATTTACCATGTCAGAGCTCGGAAAAGGCGAGAAGAGAAAGCAGGAAGCAGTTCCATGAAGAACGAAATGAATAAAGGCGACAAAGAGTTGAAGTGTGCACACTTTAGAGTGATAAGAAGACGTTCATTACACTGTGACTGTCAGACAATTTTGAAAATGAATGCTGCAACTAAAAAGATTATCGTCATTAGTAATCAATCAACCATTTTTTTTTATTAAACAGTTAATTGTTTCGAATATCAATTCTATTCTTTCAGTTTCTGAACACAGAAATGTAACATTTCAATATTTTACTTTAGAAAATAATTTACAATATAAAATATCACAATTTCCAACAAATACTCAAACTGCTTGTTTTGTCTGACCGACAGTCCAGAAAGAACTAAGAGGTATTACATTTAGTATAAGTTAATATGGTAAAGAAAACACACATTTGAGAAGTTTTTTGCAAATCAAGTTGTCTGGTGTGGTAGATCTGGACTCAGCCGACACACAAAGCGACAACAACTGTTAGCTTGATGTCGTTGGGGTGTTTCCAGCAATGGATCGTTCAGAGTACAGTTTCATTTTTGGACCAAATGACCTACAACAGTGACTCGTATCTGTATCTGTAACAAGCATAATGTTATGTCAATCCATGCGTGTGCCTTTTTCTCATTTTTTGTCCTTCCTACAAACTCTCCAGCTGAACGAGCTGTTCTGGGCTGCCAGCTGGGCCATGCGTGCGCCTCACAAGGGGGAGGAGGACGCATGCCAGAGAGCATTCTGGGTTGCAGCACAGCAGTGCTTTCAGCCAGCCAGAGACAGCAGGGAGAAAGGTAGAGCCAGAGAGGAAAAGTAGACAGAATGACAGAAAAGGGGCTGAGCTTATACAAGGTGAGAGACAACAGGTAGAGTACAAAAGAGAGGAGAAAGAAGCTCTGAATGAGAAAGACATAAACTGTACAAATCAAGCAAACCCGCCGTCCTTAATTTATATCTCATTTGTACCATGTGAGCATCTAATAATCATCTCAATCCAGATCCACAGCAGAGGAGCACCGACTCCCATTTGGCTATCATTTGGAATTAACCGTTGCATGTCTCAAACCCAACAATGAACGACCTCTCATGACGAAGAAAAAAAACACACAATTCAATCACTCCGTGGCGTATCTCTGCCGATTTATAAAGAACAAAACTGTGGCTTGTAAGTAACACTTTACACCTGTGTGTTTAGGTGGGTTGGCTCCAGCAAACATTTGTTAAAGGCAGTGAGGCCTTTAGACTTTGCATCTGAAAGCAGCCGGTGTCAGTGAGACGAGGTTCAAATCTGCAGTTAAAAGGAAACAGTTGTTTTACTGTTTTATGTCAATTCTGCAAAATGAAGTTTCACTCTCAAAATTCCAGGTATGACCATAGTCATACGAATATTGACATTTTGTATTATTAAAAAGGTGTAATGTAATCAATACTTTCCTTTCTGCAGTCATTTAGGCCTAGCAATATTATCTTTTTTAAATATTAATCTCTACCATGAACTACTTCGTGTGTTGACTTCCTATTACATCAGACTTTCTTAATTCGAGGGGCTGGCTGTGGGCTCAAGAAGTAGCGTGGACGCACTGTGATTGTGAAAGGAACTGAAAAAACGCTGACAACACCAAGCTCTTTGTTGATGTTTTAAAACTGTGATTAGCGTTGAGTCAACCATAAGCAAGAGGAGGAATACAGCTGTACCTTTAAAGTCTATGAAATATATTTTCAACCTCACATGGTCCCCTTTTCATTCTTGTCCACAGCAACTGCAAGGAAACACGAATCCACTACAGTTGAAACCAGCTCTGCCAAATGACAGGTGTGCATCTGAGGGGCGTTGTTGAGACTTCAGAGCATTCAGGGCTCAGTGCAAACTCAATTACAGATAAAGCTATACGAGACAAGGGGACACAGCAACACTAACTTAGTCTCTCAGTGACTCTAAGTTCACACTACACGACTTTCAAAGTCAACAGATCAAGAAAGTTCTCAAGAAAGTGCATCAGGCATTTAGATTTGACACGTTTGCTTCCGAGGAGGCGGATTATATTCACCGTATATAAATATGGTTAATAAATTCATAAGTTCTGCATTTGATTATGGCTGACTTTAGAGGAGAAGTTGACACGCAGATGCTGAAAAATAAAATGGCAAGCTACATTCTTCGGGCCTTTCTATTCATTGATAAAATTGCTTGTTGATATCTTTTAATAGTATTAACTTTGTTCAAACTAATAACAACTTATGCACTCAGACTGCATTTCTAAAGGATGGTTAGAATCACTGTATTGTATCGTGGTCATTAGCCCAAATATGTAGGAACATAGTATATCATATAGGCTTTACAGAACCTAATGTAAAGTACAGCTGATGACGCACTGACCCTTTCCCTCCTCTAGTAAACACATTGATTGTTGTTAATATTTGCATACACACAAATCTGGATTATGGGTTTTTTAGGGCATGCGTCACCTGCAATACTGTAAAACCTGAGTTTCAGGAAACAGGAACAAGGAGCCGAGTCAAATGAAGTGACAGTTGGCACATTTGGCTCTCTGTGCCTGTGCATGTTGTCCACTGCTGAGAAATATTTGAATTCACGAGAGACGAAAGCTACTGGAATCAACAATAGCACTTCTTGGTAAAACAATAGTATCAGACCCATGCATTAAGCTAACGGCCGCTGGTTGGCTCAGTACAAACGAGTTTGCCACAACTTGCACCACTCACTGACAGAACACACAGAATTGAGTAAGCTTTTTAGGGAAGATGCTGTATGTCACAGACTTTAGAAATGCTGAAATCAGGGTCAGACAGGTGAATTAAAATATATATATTTGAAATATTCTCCTAAGAAGATGACAACACGTTAACATGTTATTTACTAAGTTATTGTTTACAGTTAGATTTTAAATGTATTGTTTTTTTGGTATTGTAATATGCGTTTCTGCGCCCAACTAGTGGGAACTGGTAAAACACGTGTATGGGGTAATTCAACATACAAAAAAAAGCAGACACGTCAGACATCCTTGCTGGTCCCTTCCATATCATGTGACAACAACAGAACTTCAACTCACAGAAAACAGAGTGGATTAAAGCCTCTTTGTGCCAGACTACTTCACTTAATAAAGGTTTAAGTCAAACATTGAATGCAGGCCTGTAAGAATCTGTAGGGCCCTTAGTATTAACTGCAACAGTGTTAAACACACATTTACAGTCAAAGCCTTTACCTACACACACAGACAATGAAACAGACTGGTAGATGTGATGATCAGTGCATTGTGAAGTTTTACTCAATAAGTAAATATGCCACAGAAAATCACAGTACAGTACTACCAGCCGATACACACTATGTGAAAACAAAAACAGAGCACATTAGGTCATTCCGGTCTAAGATGAAATCTTAACAGTGACAAATATATCAGTGATCTATGTGGTCCATAACAATTCACAGTAATCACAGCTACTCCAGCATGGTTATTCCCCGTTTAACAGAGAGTTGTACTGTAAGGTTATTGGTTTAATTGGCTTTCTGGTCTCGCCGTTACACCAATTAACTGTTAATGTGAACACAAGCTGCATGCCAATGAAGCCTGTTAAGCCTCACGCGGCCTCGGTACATGTCAAACCCTACAGCTCTTTAATAGATAACTTAATCAGCGGTTAACATCATATATTTGCTTTGTAACGTCGGACGAGCCTAATGCTGCCATCTCCAGTGTTAAGTTAGCCCTTTACAAACCTGCCTTACGTTAGCAAAAATAGCTACTCAGCAGTCATCGACTCAAAGTCCTCACGCAAAATGTTCACCTGCACAGTGACCAAAAGAGCGAAACTCTTCCGTCAACACAAAGCAAACTGCGACGTAAAGGTGTTCGCAGTAATTTGGTGAATTAAAGCGCTGACTGGTCCTCGCTGAAGCCTAGAAACAGGCCACTGCTGTATGCAACGCTAGCAATGGCTAGCTAACGCCTGCTAGCCATGCTACCCTAGCACTTACAACCAACAAACAGGTACATTGTTTTTTTTAATAAGTGAAGAGACGTCTGCATTTTACGTTGACGGTGCAAGTGCGTGTGCACGTGCAAAAACATCTTACCTTTATTCCCACGGTTGTATTTATTCCAATGGTGGTTGGTACAACATTGCACTTCCCAATAACATCAGCATCCAGCCGAGCTGTAAACACAAGCCCAACCAACCCGCTGACAACCCACACTGCGCATGCGTAAATAGGTGCCCCTCTCGCCTGTGTTTTCATTACCTAATGGCATGATGCTCAAAGAGATCAGCTGTTTCTTTGGGCTTTGGGGGCAAGTCCAAGTCAAGTCTTAAATCAGTCGAGACAAGCCTGAACTTAAATGAGACAAGTCTTAGTCTCAACTCTGCTCATGTCCTTGGGGACAAGTTCAAAAGAAGTCTCCACTTTTCAGGAGTCGATTGAAAGTCAGTTGCAAGTTTTGTTTTCTATACAGCTGAGTTAAAGTCATATTAATAATTAGGCCTAATAATTAGGTATTGGAGGCTTTTTTAGTTCTAGTTTAGTTCAGTTTTTCCTCCTTGAGGTCTCAAGTTAGATTGTGTTTTAGGGAGTCAAGTCTTACATATCACAGCAGTAAAGTCCAAGTCTTATTTCTGTGACATATGTCTGACTCAAGTCTACATCTCTGGATGCTCAAGACAAGAGCATTTCAAATGTTAGATATTTCTCCTGAGAAAGTCAAAAATGTAAACTGGGATTGGACTGTTTTAAGTTTTCTTCTTTCATTAGTGATTTTTTTTCTTTTACTCAATGAGATCAAAACATTATCTTTAAATTATTCTACCTGCTAACTGTCTCAGGCCCACCAAAGCACCATCACTGATTACCTTAATGAGGATTTAATTGCTAAGATCATATACTAATTACAATTTTAATTTTCCCTTCCTTTTTCCTAAAACATTTACCTCCTTACCCTTTACCTTTGGGAGAAACACACTCACTGTGTTGTGGTCTTGCTGGCCCTTCTTGTCCAGCCTGTCAGGGCTTGTTGTTTCATCAGAGTCAGACTAGGTAACATAAACCATTCCTCTTCTCCCTTTTAACAAAATAAAACTCCTCACACACATACTCACAAAGCAAGTTAGGTGTTAGCAGACAGTTGATGACTGAAGAGCCCTCTCATAGAATTCCCCCTCTGGTTTCTTTTTCCAGTGAGTTTTAGACCTCTTAAGCACTCCCTGTGTTTTGTTAACCTCTTGTTTTCCTGATTAAATTCAAATACTAGACTATGAGCCATGAGAAAACATGAGTGAAGTATGTGTGTGTGAAGCAGCCGCCACATATTTGACTTAATGTCATGGTCTTGGCTGTTAAACCCAGCGTGGAGAGTCAAGTCTTCACGATAGCCTTTCAAAAGCCCAAGAAGAAACTCACTGGTGAATAGGAATCATGAAAGGTTGGTCTAGGAATGGGAGAGAAATATGTACTCCTACCTCATCTGTATCTGGTTTGTTTATTGAATAAATCTGCCCCATTAACAGCAAGTTGAGATTAGAACATTATTCTTAAGAGAACCATTAAAAACTGTCTCAACGCCTATGAATTGGTTGTTATTTAACGGCTCTTATCATAATACGACGTTCACAAATTATGACAGGATTCACAAAGAAACATAATTTGCTGTTGGTTTATTGTGGCATGCAATTTCAAGTGCCTTTTCATAATTCCATCTCTCAGTGCAACACAGACGCAGGATGCTGCTCGGTCAAACAAATTCTCAAACAGTTTCATCGATAGCACATAAATCATTCTCATCGTAGGTTTGACCCGCTCCAGTCCTGCATTCCCGTAAAGACAGTAAAAGGGAAACCTTTCACAATGTGATATTTCCAAGGAAATAAATGGAATACGTAACAGTATTATTCATCACGGGGACATTTTAGATATGCTGTCTCTTAAGGAATTTATTTTCCTCATTCTGAAACGTTACAAAAACTGCCCCCAATGACTTAAACATTTAAAAATATCTGGTAATCACAGGTTGTATAAATGAGCGTCTATACTACAAGTCCATCTAATGATGGTGCCAGACTGTATACAATGACGGATGTGTACCATCTCTTAATAATTCATTTACATTTCAATCGAACAATAGATTCGCAAATAAAATGTCTAATACAGACATGAATAGTCAGAAAACATCAGTTTATCATATGTTTAACAATCAACAAACAGGGTTTTCCCCCCACATAATATAGAATAATGAGACACTTTCTTGTCTAATAAAAAATTCAAACAGTTTCAGCAAATTCTCAAATTCAAAACAAAGAAGCTGTCATAGAATATACCGAGGATAAAATACCACAACAACAACCCGATGTGGTAATAACAATAATAGTCGTAATAATAATATGATCTCTATCAAACAAGAATTAATTTTCATGAACAAAACGAGTAAAATGCTGCAAGCAAACTTCAGCACTTGACGTGGCCACACAGTGGGCATGTGCAGAACTCTTACAGCGCTGGGTGTGTTGTATCACAACTACATAATCATCAATACTCCTCCGCCATCACAAGAGAGACTATATCGCATGCATGACGCAGGATGCAGGGAGGATGAGGTGAAGGAAAGTTGGAGGTGGGGGGGGGGGGGGCAGAGTGCACCTGCTGGCAGTGATGGGGTAGGAATTAGTGCAGTGCAATTGGCCACTGCAGAAGTGCTCTATAGACACTCGATAGGAAACAGGGAGTATCACTTTGACGTTAGTTCAATACTCACAATACTGCTTTTACACACAGTAGTGCCCAGCCCTTTCCCATAGAAACAGGCATAGCAAAGCCAATATTGATACTGAGAGGCAAAAGAAAACACTGGCAAAGTAAACATTGGCAAACAATATAATCTCTAACCCTTTGTGCTTAGGGTGAAAGGGTCAGTTATCAGTAAGTGAAATTCAGGTAAATACTTCCACAGAATATTTAAGTGATGAATATAGAAAAAGTAGCTGAGCAACTTAAGTCTTCCCTGAGCGATTCAGACGGACAAGTGTCTAGCCTCCTCTAGTGGAACAAAGCAGAACTGCATAAGAAGTATCACTCCTCAACTTGGCTGAGCCTTTCCCTCCTCACACAGTTTACAGTTGAGGAATGTGAAAAGCTGTAGGACAATTGCAGGGATTGATCACACTGTACTGTACACAACATGGCACTTGACGTTACGCGACTTCAAAGTTGAAGTTGTAAACAGATGCAGAGCGACAGTAAGTAGCTGAGCTAATTTCATGACTTGGAGCAGCAAAATCTTCTTTTTTTATCTCGGAAAACATTTCGAGAGTTTTCAAAAAGATTATTACATTGAATTTTTCAATCACTTTGTCTACCGGGGGGAAGAGGGTGGAAGAGAGAAACCCCCCAAAAGGTTACCAGTCCACTATTATACTATACTACTTGGAACTCAATCCTCACATGTACAGCCGTTTAGCCATCCTCTAAAATGGGATTTAATGTATAATCTGTCTGAGAGGATAATTTTTGGAAAAGGTACAGTTGCTTGGGTGAGAGGAAATGACGGAGGAAGCTGTAAAGATTCAAATATTAGTCAGTGATCCTCTTGTCATTCTACACAAATCTCATAAGATTTAGAATCGGGTGTAAACAAACTCATGACTTTAAATCCTGTATATTCAAAATGAGTTCATGTTTTCACGTTATTTATTAAAGTCACTAAGACAAAGCCACACATGACAGAATGCCTCATATCTATAAAAGGAAGTGAAGCAAAGCTGGGCTGTATGGAAATCACCCATACTGCACAAAATGACAGTGAACTAGACAGCGCAGTGACATTAGACAAGACAATCAATGTTGTCGCTGAAAATGTTGCAAACAAAACAAGAGTAACAAAGATCCTGATACAAAATACCTCAACATACAACTTCACAGAAGTTAGCAATGCATCAAATAAAAGAAACCGAACATTTTCAAAAAGTTAAACAAAGACAACGCGACAAAACACAGGAAGTGGTGTCCACTTGAAACATCATGCACAACCTCTAAATATTGTTTACGTTGTACGTAGAGGTGACCGGACTGGAAAGCGCAGAAAATGCCACGAGCTTACAAAAACGTGACTTCCAGTTTCTGAGATGAGGTTTACGTGAAAGATAACACCTCTGGAACAGGAAAGGAGTCTGTCAGTGGGCATGGAGAAAAGTCATTGCAGAGCTCAATGTTTAGGTCTGTATAACACAAAGAAGAGGAAGGCCACTGTCTTGCATGTTTGTATCTACTGTGCGTGAATGACAGCACACGTACTGTGTGTGTGTGTGTGTGAGAGAGAGAGAGAGACCAGTGAGACTGTTCCTAGCTTACAGTCAGGAGGATTAAACCACTACAGGCACGCAAAGATGAAACAAAAGTTGTTTTAAGATCGATTGTGAGTTCAAGTGGCTTGTATAGAAATCTACTAAATTAGCTCCAGTTGAAAATACAATTTCTGTTGTAAATTAGTAATGGGTATTCTTTAGTTATGCAGTATTAGACACTCAAGAATACTATAATAGTATGATATGGACAAAAAAAGGATCACACATCTTAGTTTTGTTGTCATCCCTCCTGACCTCCAGTGATCATTTGTCCTCCAGTGATGAATTATCATGCACACCATCAGGTTCTGTGATCTCATGACAGTCAAAGGAATTCAGAGTCAACATAAGACTCATAAAACAGTGGCAGCATAGTGAAGACCTCTGTTTTCTGCAGTTTGTATATTTCTAGGCTGTTTGGAGTGCCCTGCCCTTTTATTCTTACCATCATAACGTCTATCTCGTCATTTTTCAAGGAGTACTTATTTACGCAACAATACAGCAGAGGCTATACACTAAATGGGGTGGCATTGAGCTGAGTGAGGACATTACCATGTAACATGTAATGAGATAGCAAGACATGAAATATATTTGTCAGATATTCAAAAGTGGGCAAAAAGTAATAAATAATCACTGTTTTGTTTAATGTAGCTTTGGATAGCTAAGTGTCTCTCAACCATCACCTGCCTTGGTGTAAACAGACACAAGCTACAGAGCAATTATATTCATCACATTATAAAAAAATATCATTTTCTGTACTAAATTACTTGTATTCATTATCCCACATTCCCAACCTCAGTATTGGGACCGAGACAGAATTTGGTATGTTAGGATCTTAGTCAATCCACGAAAGAATTACTAAAGGAAAAGATTAACAGAGAGTTAAAAAAAATCTGAAGTAAACTTAAAAAGCGACACCTATTAAATAAGCTTTTGCTGTCAGCTGTGTTGAATGACACCAAACTAGATGATGTGTAAACCTCACTCATGTCAAGTTCAGCATCTACTGTTAGGGCAAACTGGTCGTGTGATTTATTAGGTTAAACAGTGAATCACTAAATTCTGTGTCGAACTGTACACTGTGGGAAAATCCCCACTTGGGAGGCAGGACAATGTGTTTTCTCTTGCCCCTTACGACGTGGCGCAGCACAGACTGTTGACCCATATCTGTCTAGTTTTATTTAGGTATATGATTGACATATATGAAGGCTGGAATTAAATGGTATTCCCTTTAACCATGATGTGGTTGTGGGCAAGCGACTCAGCTCTAACGTAGCGCAGGTCAGAGTCTGACTTTGTGTCCCCTTAGCTTCCATTCAGCAGCATCTCTGTCCCGGGCGTTTCCGGACAGGCCCGGGTCGGAGTGTCCCCCAGTCGAGGAGGTCCAGTACGCAGCACAAGCCTGCTGACGCCCAGACCTCCCGAGACCAACCCTCCAGGAGACAGTGACTTCCTGGAAAACAGAAAGAGAGGAAGGAAGGAAGAAAGGAATCAAAGAGGGGAATCAAAGCCGAGTCCAAGTCCTGTGAAACACCGGTTAACATGTTAATTCACCTGAAGGCCATCTTTTTCAGCAGGTGAGTGTCCACCTTTTCTGTCAAAGGACGCTTCTCTGTGCGGGGACGCTCCTCCACAGGAGAGGAGAGAAGGGGAGAGGAGCAGAGTGGTGAGAGGAGGTGGGAAGCATCCTGAGACTGTGGGGTGGCCAGGTCTAAAGACTCCTGAGAGGCAAAGATGATAAAAAAAGAAAGATGATTAAGAGGTATGTTTGTACTTTAATGTAGAAATCTTTCAATCAAAGCATTCCGACTGTAGTTGGACAAATTCAACTCTAAGCTTCAAAACATCCCTTCAGAAATAATGAAGTAGCATCACAGACTTTGGTGTCTATGTGTTTTTAATGTATAAGATCCAACACTCTTGGTGTGATTTACTTAATTATACCAACCTGAGACTTGATCTCCTGGTGGTCTGAATCCTCCAAGTCAAGAGCACACAGTTCAAGCTCAATGTCTCGTTCCGGGTCCGGTTCGCTTTCGGCCCGGCCCCGGTCCCGGCTGTAGGCGACAGTTTGAAGGGCTTGCAGATCAGACACGATTTTCTCTCCACTGCTTATCGAAGTTCGCCGGCAGTGAAGCGCTGATGCACAAAGCTGCTCACTAAAACACATACAAATAACAACTGTTTCCCTTTTTGTTTAAGAACATTCTTGGCATCAGTAGAAAATAATGAAATGGTCAAATAAAATGAATTCATTGCATTGTGCATTAATGGCCTTTCCTGACTCCATTTCTTGGCTCCCCAGACGGTTTTTATCAACCAGCTAGCAGCACTATTTCTTAGTCTGACCACAGAGAGGAAATGACTGCAGCACAATGAGATATGAGAGAGTGATGAGAGAGGATAAGTGAGAACAAATGTGTTAAGAATAATCAGGAATAAATTCCCTTGTGTGCCCAGTGGGGTTTAAGCGGAGATAAATCTAACCGATACTGTGAAATTTCCTTAATCATGTTCAGCAAATTCTTTTTAAGCAGGTTTATGACCTTAAAGGTTTGAATTGTTTCCTGTTCAGTTCTTCCTTCTTTGCATGGGGAGTTTGCGTGTTTCCCCTTAGTTAAACAACATGTAAGACGTTTAAACGCATAGTACCTCTCTAGGAAACTGGAGTGACTGGAGGAGTCTGATCCTCTGGAGCTCCACCTGTAGTCGCTGTGATCCAAGTGGTGGTTGTAATCTTTGAGAGAAAAACAAAGAAAGAAATCAATGCAACATTTACCTTATGATACAATTAATTAAATATCATCATGTTTCATAATTCTGTATATTATATACAGAAATATGAATTCCTCCTAACCTTTAAAATTGATGGGTGTGGTATTGGCGCTGCCCTGGCAGGCCGTGGCTTGGATTGGGTCGGTGGTGTGGTAGCCCGTGCGAGATGCCCTGGAAATGGCACCCCACTTGGAAATAATGGGCCCCTCACTAAAGGGAATGATCGGGTCCTCGTCTTTCAATCGCCGGTAATGATCCAACGAATGCAGCCATCGCTTCCCGACACCACTACCGCTGCCACTGATGCCGCCTCCTCCACCTCCGTTACTGTCCAACTAATGCATGAGAAAAACACGGACGCCGTTCGAACACACCCATACACTGCCGCAGAGATATTGAAATGAAAAAAAAAATAAAAAATTTGTCTTGAGATGTGTGTCTGCGCCTACTTGTGGATGTGGGAAGAGTCTCACCGAGTGCTCTGAGCAGGAGTGAGTCGAGGTGTGTGCGAGCGTTTCGGGCTCGAAGGGGCTGAGACAAGGGCCGATGGTACCACAGGACCACGGAGAGTAGTGTGCTAAGCTTTCCTCGCCTCTGAACCTGCACCCCACACACTGGCCTCCACTGCTCTCCACATGCTGAAAGAAAGAGAGAGACATTCAAAAAAGGATGGTGAGAAACGCCCCTTTGCTTGTTTGCAATTTCTAAATTCTAAATTCATCCTCCAAGCATTTTTGTTTTAAAGAGACAGGAAGAGAGATGCCCAGCAGCAGTGTTTTGGGAAAGCAGCAGGTAAGATAAGGCTAATAATAAAAGGCTGTAATATATATAATTACACAAAGACAGTTGGCACACTGGCTCAGCGGTAAACACTGTCATCTCCATCAGTTTTCTACATGGGTTTCTACCAGGCGCAGTCCAAAGACATGCCGATTAGGTGAAATAGAGACTCTAAATTGCCCAGAGGTGTGATGTGAAATGAATATTAAGCATAAGGTGTACGTTTTAAGGGCTTACACACCTCATACCAGCCTTGGGTGCTTACAAATTTGAATTAAAGCTCTCACTGGCATTGTTGATCTGGTGCCAGTTTGCTGCGATCCCTGTGACAAGCACTGGATATCCTGACATAGAAATAATCTTTTAGCTGGTCTTGTTAGTTTATGCTTGTTATGTAGAGGCATTACAATTAAACTGAGATTAATGCACAATCACTTAAGAAGTCCTTGTGGCTTTTTTTAATCAGCACTCAGTTTTAAAGTGGATATCTTCACAGAAACATCTCTGACATGCTGTTAAACAAAGCTTTACTCAGCCGAAAGCCTGAGTCACTGCTTGTTAAAGTCTCTCCTCTCGCTTTCTCCGTTTCTCTCTCTCTCTCGCGCACACACACCCACACATGCACATACGCCACAATTGTGCATTGCTATGATATCTCCCTCCACAGTTGCTAAGCAACTATCCCCCCACTAAAATAGCATTGGGCACAGGCTGAGGCACAAGCTTTTGGGATTGGAATTTAATCCTACATACTGTATTTCAGGAACGGTAAATCGCACAAGTAATGTATTACTCTCAGATGCAGGTGGCTGCAGTAAAACTATTAACACACCGGTCATGGCGGCATTTTAATTGTAATTGTCATGCCTATGAACACCCTCAACCATGCTCAGTGTGTTTGCGTGTGCAAATATGTCGTGTCTCTTATTTGCTTGCTACCTCAGTTGCAAAATCGATGGTGAAGATGGGGGAGGACTGGGAGGGCCTGTTGGTGTTGTGATGGTGATGATGATGATGATGATGAGCCCACTGCTCCTGCTTCCTTCTGAACAGATCCTCGTAGCCGAGAGGAACGCGGCCATAATCCTGACAAAGGGAGCGTTCGACAAGACAGGAAGAGTGAGAAAAGAGAACAGATACTTATGTTAACATAATGTGTAACTTCGTTTGCTGCTGCGACAGATAAATTTCCCCCTGGGGATGAATACAGTATCTATCTATCTATCAACACTATTAAACTCAGTAAATGACTGAGTTTAAGATAGTTTTTTTCCAGAATCTCTCCCATTCAGTGACTTAAAAAAATAACATAAAATCAAAAATAATAAATAACTATACAATATATAATCTCTTGTACACTACAGAAACAGAATGACTTACCAGTTAGTAGTGACAACACATCTGACTGAAGCTATAATTGATAACTAATAACTACCAAATACACTACTAATACAGTACTTTGAGTTTTTAGTTGAATCAGATTAACAATCAATCTTCCTCTATCTTTACCCAGCTTCAGGTGCTCTGACTGCTATTTATGTTTGGTCTAGGTCTAGACATCGGGCCAGACAGATGAGAAACAATAAAAACAGCTGTCCGATATAATGCAATACAATAACTCTGCAATAAAAATAGCCAAGCTTCTAATGTGCCCTTTTTCTTTAGACCCCATAGAGCTGTTTATTCAAAGATTTAAAAAAACACTCTTGCAGTTATTAGTGGTTTTGTATTAGCTTGTAGTAAAATGTATGTACAGCATACTGTACATACAGGTGGGGCACACAAAAAATATACTGAATCTTTTCATTGCAGGGCTATTGCACTGCATTGCATTGCGATGTATAGGTGTAGCAATAACAACATGTTTGTTTCCTCCTGCACAACTGAGGAAACATTTTAAAATCCTTGCGGCAAATATCAAAAAATGATTCTTTGTTTGGACTCAATTTACCTTAAAACAAGGATATCTTGGAGACTGTGCCGTGCATTAATAATCTCTATCACTGGTTTTGTGGCCAGACAGCATTATTGGTAAAATATACTGTAGAGCTGCAGTAGTCATACTGATAATGCTTTATGATGATGCGAGAAGAAGAGACGAGAGTGGGGGAGGCGGAAACATATTCGGGTGAGAAGTGGGAGGACTACAGAGTAGGTTGAAGCTACAAACTGCAGCTCTGTGGCTGGCAGGGAAGGTAGAGGTGAGATAATATGTGGGTGGGTGCAAAGGAAAGCAAATGTTGCTGAAAAGAACTCAACGCAATACACAAAATGCAATAAATCTGTTCAATGAAAGACAGAACGATCGATTAGATTAATACAGATTTACTTTTCACTGGATATACTGGAAGCTACACACGAGATGCTTCATGACATTGTGAAAAGACAAACAGACAAAAAGTAATTTTAATATTATTTTTTAATTATTGCATGGCTCAATGTGGATTATCTCTCTTATACTATGCCCACTTATCAATAATTAAAAGAAGCAACAGCCAGTTGGTACAGTTATTGAACGGATATGTGTCTTAAACTAAAACAGTGACGCAGGAGTTACGTCAGAGGTGTGTTGTCATCTAAAAATAAATCCCTTCAGCCAATCAGAGGAGATGCACGTTATTTCGCCTACCCTGTGTAGGCCGGCACGGTGTTCAGCTCCAGAGCAGTAGTTGCTGTCTAGAGAGTTGAATCTCTCCCTGAGTGGAGGCTGGTAGACAGAGGAATGCAGCACCTCTGGAGGCAGTGAGTTACTCCTGGCATCCTCTCTATGGTACAGCTGTTCATGACAATAATCATCAGTATCAGCGTAAATCACAGAATAATGAAATTAACAGAGTAGCATGATTGTAAACAGACGGCTCACCTGAGGCCTCCATACTCTCCTGCTGTCATAGAGGGGAGCATAAACACCATGAGCAGGAGCCAGAGGCCCATATTGAGGCTGCCCCGGGTGGTGATGGAAGGCAGGAGGTCCCATCCGATCTCTAGGCGGGTGTGGCGGGTACCCTGAAGAAGAGGAGGAAGGTGGGTGTGGCGCTTGAGGGTCACCGGGGTAGGAAGACGGCGGATTGCCGATGGAGGGCGGCAGAGAGGATTCTGGCACGTTGGAGGATCGAAGGAAGCGAGCCATGCAGGGTTTGTGAGGAGGATGAAGAGTAGATTGGTAGTACGAACCTGCTGGAGAGGAGGGGGAAAGAAGACGGAGAGAAGAGCACATTCATTTGCACTTTCCCAAGAAAACAATAAAGTTTTTTAATTGAAGCTTTTATTTAACAATTGACTCACAGGCTGGTTGATAATGGGGCGTGTCATATGCAGAGTGGGGCTCCTGATAGTACAGCTCTGACGCCTGAGAAGGATGCGGTGCACGCAGCATGAACTGACCATGTTTGGGCATTGGAGCGCCCACATCAACCCGCCCGACTGTTGTCAAGGGAGATGACGTTGAGGAGTGGCTGACTGGAGTCCTGGGAGGTGAGATGGGCTTCCTGGTGGACAGAATAACAACGTAAAGAGAAAGAAGGGAACATATGAAGAGTTGGAGGTACCAAAGGTCAGACTGTGCAAATATCCAACGTGTTCAAAACCACATAAATAAATAAAAGAAAACCATGTGAGATTCAATTTTTGTTACAAGCGGAAGTTTGGAACCGTGCATGCAAATATACATTAATATATTACTTATTTTTATGTTGCTAAATTACTTATTGCCTTTATTCATTTTGTCAAATCTGACTCCACATACGTTATGCTCAACTGGAAGTAATATTAGGCTGGTCACAGGGTAAAAAGCCAACAATAGTCATAAAAGTCATAAAAGCATCAGAAAATAAGTGGAGGAATAATCTTACTGTTCAGTTGACCCCGATGTGTTTCGGGTAGATAGCCCGTTGGAGCCGTTAGCCGCATTGGATACATTTGGCACCGCTCTGCTCATTTCCTCCATCATGTCAGCCCCTCTGGAGATCAGTTGGGGGTGAGTCAGGCCGGACACTCCTTCTGTCAAGGAGTCCGTGTTCTCTCCTGTGCCTTTGAGCCCCTGCCCCATGTCTGTAGACACGTCTGTGTGGATGCTGCCCTCCATGGTGAAAGTTTTACCCATAACCCCCGGTGATAACGGGAATGTGCGGCCCACGCTGCTGCTCTTCTTGTTTCTCAGTCTAAATCTGGAAAGAGAAGATGGGACAACAGGGAAATTCAGTACTATGGGGAAGGGTCATGTGTTGCTCAGGGGAGAACATCTAAATAAACATGTCGTCATTGGATATTTGCACTGAGGACCGCTTGTAAATCCTCTTATAAATAAATACACGATTAAATAAATAAAATCCGATTAAAAAAGGTTGGGTTGGGGAAGGCTGTTTGGAAACAGGACTCACTTCTCAAGCTCATCCTGTGTGTGTGCAAATGTACAGTTGGTTCCTCTCGGACAGCCTCCTTGCTGACGAAGGTCTCGACACATGCTGGTCTTGTACTTGCTGTTGGCCTGAGGCTGCAAAATGCACAGATACAATGTACATTTACTGTAACATTAAACCAATGCACGTAGACTAAAATGTACATATGACTCTTAGTCTGAAGTTGTGAAAGTTATCATAAAAACAAGATGTTAGTTAATGTTTACAGCGTATTTATGGAGATTCCATTTTTCATCATCAGACTGTTACAACTCATTTCAGTAGATGTTGAAAGCATCAAAATTCCACAATGGATGTCAAACAGAAGACACTTTGCTGGCAAAAGTGAACAATGTCACAGGTGTCGACAGACTACAAAGAATATCAAACACCACGAAACTAACTTGATCAGAGACTTTTATAAACAGCTTTTGTGGTACATTCCTGATGGAAAACAACTTTAGTGATTACGGCAGGGCTGCCGTTTTGAAACTGTTTGCCTCCAAAGCAAACATTAAAAAAAACATTTCCTGGTTTACAGAGCTCAAAACACAAGTATGACCAGTCATCTTTTACATCATACTATATTTTCTAATATTCAAAAGATTCCCTTGACCCACAAAATGTCTCACTTGGACAGAACTTCAGGATAGCATGCCAGGGATGCTACTGACAAACAGGAGACCTTCATCCTCTATTCACTCTACTATACTGTATCAGCTGTTAGAAACCCGTTTCAGTCTTCAAAGCTGCATTATCCGATTGTTAACAGTCATTTCAATGCTGTGGTATCCAGAGACGAGACACCATGTCATGTCCCCTTCCCTGTCTTAGAAGCCGCCGCCAGGAGGAAAATAGTGTGCTAGTCGACCCTGAACATCTCATCTTCAATGTCGACGGCCTTCTGCGGTGCCTGAATGGAGCAGCAGGACAGCTTCTCCCCTTCACTATTCTGCACTTTTCCACTGGGCTAATATGATGTTCATGATCTCTCGCATATCCTTCAGCTCATCTAATATCTTGCATTGTTCTGTTGTCTATTTTAAATAATGTAACCGGTACAATCTCTCCCTATAGCGTCAGTGTACCTGCGGAGCATCGTGGCTCTTCTTGCTGAAGTTCTGTATGAATTCCACTAGTCCGTGAACCACCAACTTCACAGCCAGCATCACACTTTCCAGCTCCTCCCATGAAGGTGCCGGGGCATCTGCAAACAGATCAACAACACATTTAGCGAATTTAGCGTGTATCCGACACAGTTGAGACTATAGTGTAAAACTCTCTAGTTGATGTACTTTTTGGATGAGTACACACACATTTTGTGATTATATCCATTATACAGTAGGCGCTCCCTGTATGAATAAAGTTTAGAATAACAAGAGTCTTCAGCCATGCTAGCAGTTCTGTGAGGCTGTACTTAAACACAGTGCTTTGAGCTAAACGCTAACATTATGCCAAAATGCTCACAAAGACATGCTGATGTTGCAGGTGTCATGTTTACCATCTTCAAAATCCTAGTTTAGCATGTTAGCTTGCTAACATTAGCTGAGACTGATGGTAATACCATTAGTTTTGCATGTATTTGGTCATAAACCAAAGTGCTGTACACATTTTAAATTGTACGAGAGGGGTCACGTGCAAAGAGATCCAATGTTATGGCAAGCCATCCAAATTAAACCAAGTTAACCAAGATTGCCCAATACAGAATTCCGAGTGCCATAATATTTCTAACCCTCGTTGTTGTGCTTTAATTAATTAAGTATTCAACACACAAGATCAATCAGCAGTTTTAATCTTCTCTTTTGTGCTATTTAATTGCATTTTGGTATGCGAGTGCCACAGCTTGCCTGTTTGCTTCACTTTTCAATCTCATTAACCTTTGTGGAACAGGACGAGCCCATTATTCCGAGAAGTGTGAATCATTCAGACTCATTAGCATTCATTCAGATGAATACTGTTGAACAAACTGACGCACCTGGGTTGTGGTCTATGTTGGCTAGCAGCTCGAGATGTGGTCTAAGGCTTGTGAGGTTGGCGGGGTCTCCTGTCCTCTGCAGAACGATCGTTAGCTCCTGAACGCTCTTTGCAAAGGACTCTGGAGACTGCAACTGGAGCAGAAGATAGAAGAGGAGACTGAGTCTTTAAAAGAAAATAAAGAATAGATGAATTTGTCCTGTGCTTCTGTTCTCCAGAGGCTTGTTTTACCCACCGTGTGAAAACTAAAAAGTGAGTTCATCAATAATGATTGTTGAAACTTAAATGGCAAGTGGAATGACAGCCTGTTACTAATGTCGGGCATATGCATCATGCTGGTACCTTGTCAATAATGGACTGCATATGTGACTTGTGGACCAGGTCTCCGTACAGCAGAGAAGACCACTGCTCGGGTGAAATTCGCAGGCCCGCCTCCATGGCGATGTGGACGATCTGAGCGTCATGTTCTCTCCGGAGAGCCTCATACGTTCGAAACTCTTCTTTCAGCTGCATCAGCGAGGAGTCTTCATCACGCTTAGTGACCTGACAGACGATGGAGGGAGAGAGAATAAGAGAGAGGGGGGATTGAGAGACAGGAGAGAGAGTACAAAGATGAGGAAGACGAAGAGGGTATATGGACAGATTGCTACAAACTTTTGTCCTTGATACAAAACGAATGAAAGAACAATAATTCATCTTCACCCTAAAATGAAACTTCACTCCTTGTTAATACCATCGAATCCAACACACACATCCAGCTACCGTATCACTTACAAATTTCTACAGTCAAAATTACAACCGAAAGAATCAGATTTCTTGCTGTCCATCCTCTGTGTTGTTACTGTTCCTGCACTCTCACCCATCTTTCTCTGCATTTCTGAGCTGTCTGTCTGTGTCCTGCAAGGCGGGGCAACAAGGGCAAATATAGACTGCTGTTACATCAGGAGCAGATAGCTGGCATTTCTGCCCTACCAGCAATGTCTGTCATCAGATAACAGGCACAGAAATACACGCACGCACAGAAAGTATATCCACAGACGGCCGTATCGTCATTACAGATATGACTTTCATGCAATATAAGACATTAGTAGTATGGGCAACCCATTTATGCCGTGATAACACTTTAATGTCAGACAGGGTCATCTTAAATTGGACCTCAACCTCCAGTTGAAAAGCTTATCCTTGTCTTTGTTTATCTTAATTTGATAGAGTTTATTAAGTGGAACATATTATACCTCAACTGACAGGAATAACAGTTTTGGAAAACATCTGTAACTGCTGAAATAAAGAAAGGTATTCATTTGGAGCACTATCTCTGCGGTAACGGATTATGTGGTGGTCTATTTAAATACCCTTCTTTTAATGAGGTCAATTATTATGGCTTGGGTTCTTGGTACAGCAGCAAACTGAGGTTCTTTTGTTCACTTTGACGGAAATTACGGTCAAAGAACTTTTATTATTATTTAATAGTGCAGCTTGCTCACATGTCCTTGCATGTGGACACATTTATGTGTTCGGTGTGTATTTATGCTCATTCATGTTGCCTATACCTTGAAGCAGGAGGCCCTGTAGAGAAGCTGCACCACGTGCCCTATGCTGGTTTTGGAGGCCTGGGGGAACCGAGCCTCGAGCTTTTGGACCACGAACAAAACCAACACCTTCCTGGACAAAGCTGAGCCGTCCTCCAGAGCCAGTAAAACTAGCTTCAGAGCATCTTCTTGCATAGCTGATGAGGGAGAGAGATAAAGGGGGATGTGGGTGTGCAGCGGATGACAGCAAGAGGTGAGATTGGTGGGAGGAGGGAAGAATACAATGCATGTTTTAATTGAAAAATCAAACAAACGGATCTATTTCTGACACGTAAAGGTTCTTGGAGCCATGTGTCCTCAGACTTTCAAATGAACTCCTTCTGTTATCATGATGAGAAATGGTTTCTCAGTCAGAATCTGCCCTATGAGCAATCATCACAGGACACTGGGTACCAGCACCAGCAGTCAGTTTGATGAGGCAATCTAAACAGGCAATTTAAGAACACATTGTAAATCAGACGTAGACTTTTCTTCGGACTTTTTTTTAAAATACAAATTTAAGAACAAACTTAGGAAGATATTGTTGAATGAGGCCCTTGTCCACTCAACTGAAAGGCAACCAATTCCTTTGAATTCCCACGCCAAACTACTAAAATAACAGTCAAGTAATTTCATAAATCCAACAGCCTTACAGCAATAGCAGCAATAAGAGCAAGATGACACTTCATTGTTCTCAAACCTGTGTCACACAGCTCTTACTTTACTAATGCAAGTGTGGAATCTGCTTAAAAATACATTCAAATGTCATGTTACAAATCACATGTATCGATTGCCTCACACATCTGTGTTTGTGTCTTGTATGTCATTCACACCCACCAGGTCCCAGGAACTGGCAGCCCCGCGCCCTCACCGCTGCCCACAGGTTGGCAGAGAGCTGCTGGGGGTTCTGGTGCTGCAGGATGAGCTCGGTTACGGTTCGTTCCCCCAGCGACCGGCCTGCCCGCACCGCCCGCACACGGCCCTCTTCCTCCACCAGCTGGCAGTTCACCAAGGTCACCAGCTTCCTCTGCATTGGCCGACTGAGCACGCTTGGACTCAGAGTCGCCACACCTGCAAAAACGATGACAGTTCTGTGAATAAAACTGTGTGGAACTTTCCCAAAAAAAAAATTATAAATGCTGCCACAGCACCGTCACCCAGAATTGGCTGAACAAACCGGCAGAAACTGCTAGTCATTTCTGGGAGGTCAATCTTTCTTGTCTGGTTACGCGGAGGGATACATTTTCCCTCAGTACCATAAAAGTACAGCTTTCAGGCGTCTGAAGTGTGAGAAGCATGAATGCCAAGTTGCACAGGCAGCTCAACTGCAGCCCACGCACATTTGGTGTGAAGAGCTTTATTCTCTTTCACAGATGTCCAGAGATTCAAAACTCAAAAAATGTACCGTCAAAAACACAAAAAACAGACATGCATGTCTACACACAAACCTTTCGCTCCGCTGATAGGTTTTAGGTAGAGAGCCAGCTCTTCCACGCACACCTTGCACACCTCGTAGTTCTCAACTTCTGCTGCGCTGCTCAGGCTCACCTGTTGCACATCTGGGACCTAAGAGACGCACATCGTGAGCACACACAAGACATAGATACACACAGAAAGTTTTCACTCAAACATGCCTTCTCTCTTCCCGACTCACCTGAGCTCCGACCAGCTGCAGCAGGGCACAGTTGACCGGCAGCAGGTCGATTTCAGTGCTGATTGGTGTCTGATCGAAGGGGCAGGCCTTGCGGTGCAGTTTGTGCAGGCAGGTCTTACACACCGTGTGGGAGCAGCCCAGGCTGATGGGCTGGTGGCCGCTGCTGTCAAACTCATTGTAGCAGATGGGACAGGACAGAAACTCGGTCCACTGGGCCGCCTGCACTGGCATCCTGCCACCACACCACCGAGGGAGGCGTCGCCGAGCTCAGGGGGAATGCATGCCAACGAGCCCCGACAACAGCTCCTGCTTGCCAGCGCCGACGATGACTGTGAGGAAGGGGACATAACGTTATGCAGCAGTCATTGTGTAAAGACACATGTTGACAGAAAACTGTAAAAATGTACAAGCGCTAAAGCTGCAACGAAGGATGTTTATTACTGATTTGTCTTCAGACAGTTTAATACTTCATTAATCGACTAATTGTTTCAGGTCTAACCGTTACGATAAAGTACTATAAATAATCCACCACATCACAGTGTGCATGTCCTTACAATAACATTACTTTGACTATAGCTACACCACAAGAAAAAAGTACTATATTTGGGATTTGCACTCAACAGGACTGAATAAAAAAAACGGAATAAAAGAAAAAAGAATATTGTGACAGAGCCCATTGGAGTTCATTATGTGCATATGCACTCTGTTTGTATATATAATCAGCGGCTTGTCATAAAAGATTGTCACCTGCCACAACAGCTTCATAACAAGTTGTAAGAGCTAACAGACAATGGCATGGTGTCCAACAGATAAAGGAGCAGAATACATGTCATTAGCTTGAGTCTATACTCATTTAGCTAAGTACACAGGCAATCTTCAGCCACTCTCGCCATAAAAGTCATACACTAATTTAATGTGGGCAATAAAAGCACTCTCACCTAAAAGAAGGAGTTGCCAAATTCTCAACACATATTGCATTAAAAGGCCTTGATGTGAACACAATTTGTACAGTATTAAGTCCAGGTCTATCACTCACCTCACTACCAACACGGACTGGACATTATTCAAACAACACCCTCAAATATCAAAATCACAATCAAAGTAAGTATAAATACAACATGTAAACCAAACGTTTGAGAGGCGTTTTCTTTGCGAGACTGCAAAAATAAAAGGTTATTTCAGAATACGGGTGAAGACAATTGACTCAAAAATAAAGGTCCAACATTAAGTACTGCATATTCATTTGAGAGCGAGACCAGTCCTGATGTATCATCTTAGCTTCCTCTTCCAGCTTTTTGAGACAAACCCTCTCTTGTCTACTGAAGACTGAGCTCAAGCTGAATCATGATAATACTGAATGAGCATGTCAGTTCCCGGACAACTGATACACACAGACAGGACCTGCAAGATGAGACGGATAAAGCTGAATCATAACAGCATCCTGTTTCAGGGAACGTTTGTAGGCCAAAGTGTTTGTTTGTGCCAGATGTTCCCAAACAGGCTGAAAATGAAGATATATGACACTACTTGTTTAGAGCTTGTTTAGAGTAGAATCAAAAAGTAAACATCCTTAAATAATTACTCTGGTGAGTACAGGATCTCAGTTATTTTCCACAGGCAGTAGTTTCACTTTAAGTTATCTTTCTATTTTCTAACTTAAGGCTGTAATTTAGTTAAAATCCTTTATTGAAAGCAATTTTGTAAATTCCACCAAAAAAAAGGCCTATGATGAAATGTGAGTAAAAAAATATTTTTGACTGTATTTTCGACTGTTTTAAGTATTCAGAGCCTCCTTGAATTATTATTATTATTTCTATTTCAAATTGTACTTCTAAGGACTGCAGAGATGTTGAGAAGTTAAGGGAAGTGGTAAAAAAGTAAAAGATTGAGCGACTGATCGACAGAACCAATGAACATATACACAAGTTAACATTGTGGGATCTAAACAGCTCCCTTCACGCTTTACTTTGATTTTGAACTTTCTGAATTCTAGTCACTTTGTAATTTCTTTTGAAAACATTTCATACAGGCAAAGGGTTCCTCTTCTTACATAAAAGTGCAGGATAATACAATATTTTCTACAACCTCTTGGTGTTGTTTTCCATATGTTATTGGATGCATCATCCCATTAACCAAAAGGAAAACCTTACATAAAATACATGCAAACATAAAAACAAATCTTCTGTCTTACATTATGCAAAGTGTTTCAGACAGCATGCAGACAGTCAGCACTTGTTGCTTTTAGAGTCTGTTGCATCTGTTCAAACTGCCCACCAAAATAGCAGCTGGTGCCCTCACGAAACAGGTGCCATAATAATCTGAACAAAAATCTATTCCCACACACACACATACAGTAAATACAAAGAATGGAGATTATAGAGGACAAAGCAACTCAGTTAATTGATATATGTATCTCTCTCCCTCTCTCTCTATCTAAAAACATGTCTTCTAGTTTTCGAGGAATTGTCTGAGCTTGAAAAACAACTTTTATGCCAAATAAATAATACGCACGCCTCGTATTAGGCAACAAATACACCCAGCATGCATTTGAATGTGATTAAAATCATAATATGCGGCACTTATATTGCCACTAATAATACGCACCTCCCACACTGCCCGCAGAGCGCGGTCCCCGAGGAACCCACCTGACCGCGTGGACAGCGCCGCTATCCTCGCGCGTCATATCTCCTTCTGCGAGGAGCCCAAATATAAGACCGATTACGGCTATTGAGTGAGATAGCGCTCGTGCGATGAAATGGGCTCAGTGGCGAGTTTGGAGACGATCGATGGATAATGGTGTTTTATCTTGGCGCGCGTGAGCCTGGATAAAACTCCCTTTCTCTGTGTGTGAACGGATTAGGTGGTGGTGCAAGCTCTGGGGGCAACTGTTCACCACGAGTCACTGGCTGTAGTCACGTTGACAGCCATCTGTTCCTGCTCTGAGCAACTGCTACATCCTGTTTTTATTGTTTTACAGACGGACCGTGGCAGAATACAGGTCTGGCATCTTGCTATGTGCAGAAATGATTCCTGCAGGCATGACTGGAAACAAGCCTGTGCACTGTCACACCACAATTAGATTGATGACATAAGTACCTCAAAGCACATGGGGAGTCCATAATATCATGATGTACACACGACTTCCATTACTTGCATGAATGGATCACTACTTGTGTATATGTATGCAAGCATGGCACACACACACAAAAAGCCACCACGGTCATGACTAAATCTGGTCTTGTGACAAGGGGGAAGAAGTGGGCATGTTGTGTTGTCACAGAAAACCATAACTTCCTCATTAGGCTTCCCTCCCTCACTTATTTAAAAATGAGGAAATCAACCTGTGAGCTCTGTTTATATTTTTCCAGACTTGTTCATGCCTCCAATTCGCCTACAGTGGTTTGTGATGTAGGAAAACTTGAAGCGTACAACAAAAAGATGCAGCACATTCAGTGTCCATTTTTAAGAGCAAAGTATCCCTAAAATTGTTGAATGAAGGCTCAGTAGACTATAGGCCGTAATTTGCTTGTAGTGGCCTGTTGAGCGCCTCACTCTACTGAGCGGAGGACGAGAAGTACATTGTGTCTTTACAGCCAACAGTTGGCGAGCTATCATCTGGGACAGTGAGTCCTCGCTTGGCCCCCGCTGTGTGGGGGAGGGCATCTGGAGTTTCCTTTGGCGTGTCTCACAGAGAAGGAGAGACATAAAGAGAAAGATTGTTTTGAGGGAGTGTTTTTTTAAGAGCACTGAGGTTGGCCCTTCTTCAGTTTTCCAGTCTTAATTAGATTTGGACTTTGTTTTAGATATGTGATGAGCCTTCCTGTTGAGTTAAGGTCAGGTTAACTTAAGGGTAAAGGTTGATGTTCTCACATTGCCGGCGAAAGGTTGGATAGAAATAAATCAGGTGGACTCTGGTACAGGCTAAGATCCCTACAGCGCCTGTAAAATATCATGCTAGGAGGGAAAAGTCTTTCACATGGCTATTGTGCGACAATAACACAGTTTTCATTAGCATGTCGTGAGCATGCAGCTTGTTAGTCCTTGTCATGGCTGTTTCCCATAGAAACAGGGACTTTGAAAACAGCAACGCAACTGAAAGGGAGAGCAGAAGGAAGCTGAATACAGCAGCCGGCCAATAAGAGGCTCATCTAAGTGGTACACACCCTCGTGCAGGGTAAGGTCTTATTAAGCTGTTATGATGTGTTTGACAAACTGACATCTTACATTAGCTCTGACAGCTTTAAGTTTGGGGCCTCGTCATGCGCTGGTGATCTAAGACACATTCTGACATGAGGATCTGTGTTGCATGTCATCCCCCTTTTTCTCTCTCCGGCCAATCTCGATTATCAACTACCAAATAAATGCAAGGAGATGTCAACTAAATAATCTGAAAGTTAGACGTTTGACCAGTTTATGGATCCACAACAACCAGTAGCAGCAATGAGGGATGAGCTGTCTCAGGGTTGTTGAGCATCATCTGAGGGACAAACGGTCATGCTCGTAGCGTCCAAAAACTGTTCTGCTACACATGCACACACACACACACACACACACACAAATAGGAACTAATAAATGGATACATGGCCACACACACACACACACACACTGCCACAGAACATGAGTGGGACCTGAAGGAAAGCGATCTGAAGTAATATGAGGACTCCTCACTGTCACCGTGAGCTAGAACATTCTATGTAGTGTGTGTGTGTGTGTGTGTGTGTATATGTGTGTGTGTGTGTGTTTCAGTGGATCAGTAAACCCAGGGTGGTGTTTTCATCAGAGACACAGATCTATAAAATATAGTGTTCATACTGCAAGCCTTCCTGCTCAGATCCAATTTTTTTGGTTTGGCTGTTTACATTATTGTGGCCAGTATCAGATCCCAGTGTGAACTGGTCACAGTCCTGAACCAACCCGCTCCTGCAAAAGACCAACAACAAAGACGTCCAACGCAGCACGCTGTTGGAAGTAAACAAGGAGGCCCCTAAAGTCAACATTTACTGTTTCATGTATAAATTGACGGGTGTGGAAACCAGCTAATTAGTGACCGGGTGATAGCAATCACCGCCCTTCCACTGTCTACCTTCATTAAAGCTGTCTTCCATGTTGGTATTGACCGAGGGACTCCTGCCAGCGCAGGATTGTGACGAATGTTGACATAGACTGACGTAAAAGTCGCTAGAATTCCGATATTGCTGTTCAGACTGAGGTCGCATTGCAAAAAAAATCAAGACCTGTATCTCATTTAGGACCACATATGAAAGTGTCCCCAATCAGAATTAAAAACATCCGATTCCATGTCATTTGTGGTGTTCACACTGTTATGAAAAAACCCAGATCTGATTCACATATGCACAAAAAAAGCTGATGTGGGCCACTTTTGCCTGCAGTCTGAATATACAAAAACTTCCCAAAAACTAAGTAACTGTCACTACATCAGCACAACAAAAAGGTCTCATTCAGTAACTAAAAACAGTACTGCTGTAATTACTACTCCAATATACTCATTTTGAGAAATACTCACACACACTGTTTTAATGAGACTGTTTCTGTAATGCAAAATGTTTTTATATTTGTCATGATTCACTTTTTTTGTGTTTTGTGTTCATGACCTTTTAAAACCCCCTCCACAGCATAAGCTACACTTAAAGTTTTAACATAAACTCAATTGCAGAGCCTTCAACACAGCCTTCAGGGTACACATTTGTGGGTAATGCACAGCAAGACTGAAACTTCAAACCCACTACATTTGTGAACAAATATATTCTGAAAAACTCAGTTTAAAGTAAAACAAGATAAGACGACTTTAAATTGAGTCCTAAAACGCATTCGTGTTGACAACAAAGTGAAACAAATGAAATCGGATTTGTGTTTACAGGCACAAAAACTCAGTAGGAGGCAGCGCTTATTGGCTTTACAGTGAAAGAAATACTTACCAATAATAACCACAGCAAGCGGGTAAATAATGAAGGTTCAACTTTAGCACTGATGATGCTTGTTAATCTTTTTAAAGACCGGCGAACCCACTCCAGTAGACAGTACACTGGAAGTAACAACACACTAATGCATATGCAGTCTGCAGTGACAAACATATCATATTTTGGCACTATCGTACCCATCATTTTGAATTGTGTTTTTGTATGGCAGCTCAAGGTTATGATGGTGCAAGAGCAGCTAGTCTTTTTGAAAGGAATGTTTTGTTCCATTATTCATTACAGGATTACTACAGTTGTTTTCATGTCTGCTCGCTTGTTTGTGAGCGTACCGTATGTGGGTCTGTGGGATTATTTATTCATTAGGCCTGTCATCACAGTGTGTGGATGGTAGGCAGGGCAACCATACAGCTCACAAGCTGCTGTATTATACAGCACACAAAATAGAGGCCTACTTTATTACGCCTGCGAGATGTGGCTGCACTGACGGGAGCATCCAAGAGTTAAGCAACCTTAGTTTGTTGCAGCCTTGGATAATATTGTCAGAGTATCAGGTTGCTTTCCAGTTGCAAATCAGCAGGTTATAGAGTAGCCTCCAGCGTGACAGGCTGCTGCACACTGACTGAAGGCTACAGTCAATAATATGCAACAACTTGAACTTGGAAACAGCTCTGCTGTAGCTCAGGAGTCACTTTGAGAGCAAAAGTGGTGTTCCTGCATAAATATCACATTTGTGCAAATGCCTATCATCAGGCGTGGGGTAACATCAACTAGTCTTCACCATTGCAGCAGCATTATCTACCATTTGCATGTTGCTTTACAACATGCAATGACTGCCTCAACTCTTTCCAGAAAACCCTGGTTTGCACCCGCATCTGGTCATATGCTATGGGCTCATCATCTTAATACAACCAGCCTTCTTATAAAATTCCATTTGCACCAGTTGCAGGAATTGATGATGAGCTGGTGGCCGAATAGTTCCAGGTCTAATAATAGCCTTTCTGAAATCTGTTGCTAATGATATCTCATTTTCAAGAAGGGAAAACGACAAAATAAAAAACAGTCCTAGTCTGACATTGAAATGTCAAAGGCTTTTGCACACAACAAACAAAATCTCGATTGGAAGAGCAGGAGAAAGTAGCGCGCACCTCTGGATAAGTCACTTACCTCACGCACTACACCATGAGCACCAGAATAAACATATTCATCCACAGAAGCGCATCAAAATAATACAAATAAAAAAAATCTTCATCAGTTGCAAAACAATCGGAGCAGCAAGCCCAGGGAAATAATTATTGACGCGAGATGTCTCTGCATCAGGGCATTGGAGGCAGGTCTCTTGGTCCGGTTTGGATCCTCTGCCCCCCTTTTCGATAGTACATGACGGACACGTTCACTTAGGTACGGTGGGCCACACACTCTTGGTTTGACTAACGGGGCTGGGAGGAGATGGTGGTATCGCTCCGCCGGTGATGGTGCCCGAACTGCGCCTCACCAGACTCACGACGGGGCCGCGCGGGCGGAGAGCCGCTGTACCGCTATACGCATCTTGCATACTCTGCCCGAGACGCGGTTCTGTTCACTCTTCGACGGTTCAACAAAAAAATGCTTGTGCGTAATTGTCAGAGGGGCGGCACTATTTTAATGTTGTGAGCAAGGATAAAAAGATGTAAAGGGGCAAGCCGGAACAAGCCGCTTTTCAAGGCGTGGGCTGCCTGGTTTTAAAGGAACAGACCAACAGAGGACGCGCTTCGACAAGTGCGCCTGTCGAGAGGAAGTTCACACACACATACAAACGCACGCAGTTCCCCCTCGTTTTGTTGCAGCCCTGCGTTTAAAGAAGTGGAGTAGAGAAAAAAAAAAAAGCATGCCTGAACTCAATTTGTCTTCCCCGTTATATTATTTATAATGTTTACCCTGAGATAACCTATAATAACCACATTCATATACTTTGCAAAGGCTTAAATAACACATCAACAAAATGATTACATTTGATAGTAAATGAAGTCAGTCTTCTGTGAATGTATTCAAATGTATTTTTATGTAAAATAGTTATTTTGCATCGAGAGTGGCTTTTTATATCGACTGTAGGCTACTGGTTGATAAAACACTGGATTATGTTGATGAACATGGCCTACTGACGGTAATCCTATCTGTTGGATAGCCTCGTACATTATAATGGACTTCATCTGGCATCTCAGTAGTATTTAACTGCCTCTTGGCCACTTGTCTGTGGCCATGTATACTTTACTTCCAGTGTTTAAAATGTTGTCTTACAGCAGCAATAACTCAGACTTTCTCATGTCATTGACCCGTTGCCCACTACAGGAGAGGGGGGCCTACAATGACAGGGAGACATGATGTGTTTCTGCACAGCTGATGACTGTTAGTCCTGTTTGCTTCTGGTTGAATCTTGTACTTCAATTGATTGGTGGTGATCTTTAGCTTCAGAGAAATATCAAACAAAAGCACATTTCACTGTAATATTTTAAGCTTTATTAGTTCTGCAGAAACAATGCCATATTTTTCAGGAATTACCTCACACAGTTATGCACATTCACATCTGTACAACTACAGTCTGATCCGTTGGCCACTGAGGAGATCTAGTCAGCTCTCCTGGAGCAGTTGGGGGGTTGAGGGCCTTGCTCAAGGGCATTTCAGCAGCGGTGATGAAGGGCGGGCATGTGCTGCTCCCTCATCTTCATATTCCTTCCTTGTGGCACATCTTGACAACTTCTTCATCATTCCCACCAACATCAGAGTAAATGGCAGCCATGGTCATGCAGTATACTTAATGGTTTTAATTATCACAAGAACAAATATTCCAATTACTTGTATCACTCTTTTCATCCCTGTCTCTGTATCTACCACTGCTCTTCCATCTTCCTCTTGGCCTTCCCCCCCCCCCCCTTACATGTTATACCTCTTAGTCTCTCATTCATAATGGAGGTGCCCAGAATGCCACACACAGACATGCATGTGCTATATTCTGATGAAGGTCTATTCAGTGCAAGGGGATATACATGCTTTGGTATATCTTTGACTATATATTTATATGTATTCTCTGTCTTCCTTAGTCACACATTCTCATACATTATTTTCTGTACACACACCCTACCATGCGTTAATCATTTGTCTGCCCACAGACTTGCAAATTTCAAGACAATTTCAAGCCAGTGGCACCTCGAATGCCCGGAGGAGGACAACAACAACCGTCCCATTCACTGAGATGAGTGACGATTACATTTCTGGGCCGAAAGGAGAGAGGGAGAGATGCAGAGGGTAAGGATGGAGCAAGAGAGCTTGGAAACCCTCTCAGCCATGCGGGAGAACCCATTCACTTATAGCGTGATGCTCAGAGAGCTGCACAGAATTTCAGTTGGGTCAAATTGTGAAGCGATGGTTGTCTGTGAACCCCAGCAGGCAGTATGCAGGATTCAGTCCATCCAGAAAATTCAGCAAAGAAATAGTCGACAAAAGCATTTGATTTTTTTTTTATCATGTAAACTATTTTCTCTAGATTTTGTTGCAGCAATTAAAGCAGTGTTAACTTGTTCATTGTATAATTTCCAGTCTTAAAACTCTCTTTTATAGTTAATTATGGCTTATCTTCTTGGTAAAGCAGAACATTCTTGCAGAGGGAACACAGACACGTTTAGTTGGCTGTTCACCCTATAAAATGCAGGAGCACTTTTAAAGGTGTTTGAAACGATGCCCAACTCAACCCGTAGGAGATTGTATTCACTATTATACATGGCAGAAGATATAGCATAATGGAGTTCAGGGCAGAGATCAGGAGAAAGCTGCAGAAGGCACAGAAGGAAATTTACTTCTTTCCATTAGCCAAATGTTTCAGGGCAAATGCATTAACTCGTTGATCGGGAGACACTGATGTAGCACAAAGTGAGCTCCCCTGTACTTTGATCATTTTCTAAATTATTACCCTGCAAGTCAGTGTCAAGTGCTTCCTGATAAACCTTTTTTGACATGTTTCCAAAGTTATATAGATCTATCAACTATAAAGAACCCCACATTAATGATATTTCTGCCACAACAGCTCATCTATCATCAGTGCACAGCCTCCTCGAGCGTGTTCTGCAGGCTACTCTTACCATGAATGTCCTTCAGGTGACGCCTGAGGCCTGGCTTGTGTTGGAAGAGCACAGCACAGTATTTACACTTATGGGGCTTATCCCCTGTGTGCAGATTGAAGTGGTCTTGCAGCGTGGCCTTTTGGGAAAATGTCTTGTGGCACAGCGGACATCGGAAAGGCTTGACCCCAGTGTGGACGCGTATGTGGCGGGCCAGGTTAACCCGCTGGGGAAAGCCTTTCCCACAGACCAAACACAAGTACCGTCTGTGCTGCTTCAGGTGGCCCACGTAGCTCTCCCGGTGCTGGAAGACTCTGTCACACCTCCTGCACAGGTACGGCCTCTGGATCAATATGCTGTCTGAGCCCTCCGTCAGCTCATCTCCGGAGCTACGACTCTTTGGCAGACGTGCTCCGGAGAGGCAAAACAAATGGGAGTCCATCAGCTCGCCACATTCTTGTAGTTGAGCTTCCAGCAAGAACAGTTCTTCCTCTTCGCTTTGCTCCACCTCTGCTTCTTCCTCTTGGTTCTGGGAACTGTCCACCAACTTTTCGCATTGAGCAGAACTTCCTCTGGTTGTGGGTGATATATGATCTCGGAAAGCTGTAGGAGAGTGCAGCTTACTTCTCAGTGCACCTGTAACGTGCTGAACTTGATAGGGTGGCTTGTTTGTGTTAACAGGCTGCATGTCTCCATCTTCCTCTGACTTCAGGGTATCTAGGCAGCATGCTGCATCGTCAGATAACTCTATTTTAGCTATAACCAGCCCACTATCATCTTTGAACCCCCTCAGTCCTTGACCATCCATCTTGGCTCCTTGATTGAACCTCGACTTGGACTGAAACACAACCGCCCCTTCTTCCTCCGTACTTGCTTCCTGGATGCTGGTGCTGGGCTGGGCCGCATCCCTTTCCTCCTGATTTCTGAAGCTGGTACCTGGCTGGTGGTTGTCTGGCTGCTGGGTGTCCTTCTCCTCTGAGTGTCTCTCTGGTTTTAAGAAAGCCAGCGTGGGACCGAGGTACTGCGAGATGGCCTGGGCACACCTCTCCACCACCTGACTCATCTGGAGCGCACTGGCAGCGGTCAGGTAGCTCACCAGGTCTCTCAGAGGGACCTACAATAAAAGATATTTAAAGAAAAACAAGGGAAACAGTGCAATAATAAAGAAAACTAGCTACGATTCACACCAAACGCACACGTTGTGCACTTGAAACACACAAAAACAGAACTACAAACAATGAGCAATCATCTGTAACTTTCATATCACACTCTTTTGTTGTTGCAACATGTTTGTTCACTGTTTCTGTTTATGTAACCCTTGATGTTATTCATTCTGACAATCTGTTTGCAGTGACGCAATCTTGATTGCACAGTACAAGACCTGCTGTACAATTATTTGTAACTGGTATAGATTTCATGTTCTGCTCTGCTTTTACTGTAGCATTCAGAGTAGCACTAATTATATCGCACCTCTAAGAGCCCGGTGTAGCAGGACAGGAGAAGTCTCTTGCCAACCTCCACACGGGATACTACTCCCACGCTCAGCTTGGCCCGGCCTTTGTGGAGCAGGAATTGGTCACGTAGGAAGTCTGAGGACGCTGCAAGCACTGCTCTGTGACCGTGGAATTGGAGAGGCGGAACAGTGGCGCCTTGTGGACCCCCAAGGAGGAGTGTGACATCACAGAAACACTGCTCCTCCCTTAGAGCGTTGATTTTTCTGAGGATGGAGTCACCGTGGGTGGGGAAACGAAACCATAGGGTGTCACAGGAGCTTGACATGATGGTCTGTGTGGATTTAAAAGAGTATTCTGTGCACAGTTTGTCAGAGGTCAAATACAGAAAAGGTGTGAGCTGCATGGATTGCTTTTTCACTAAACTGCCTTTTCAAATAGGTTGCGGGCCTTTTTCTAGTTGAACAGTGTGAGTGCATTTGTGGAAATGTAAGTGTGATAAAAGTTTTGCCACTCCTGGTGAAAGTATGCATGAGGCCCATTGATTCACAGCCAAATCACAATTTCCACATCCTAGCATCATTAACATGAGGTAGTTATGGACTGCAGTTAAGCGAAATCTATGCACCACAGTCAGGAAAATACAGAGAGATCACACATGGACGTGACGATCCAGACCCACCTCGCATCCCGTGATGATGGATCCAGCAGATTGAAAACAACAGCGAGACTCTATTCGCCTGATGTCTGACAGTCACAATCACTGACAAGGACGTGAATGGGCAACACATGCAGAAGGATGAGATCTATCTCTCAGCGGTGAAGCAACGGGCATCCCGTCTTCCTCCGGCTTTCTGCTGAGACAGCAGTGTCTGTGTCTGCGCAGGAGCTTGTGAACTAATTAACCCCTTCAGCGGCTGTATTTCACCAGGGTTTCTACAAAGGCACCGAGGGGTCCAGAGATGATACTGTGAACATTACCAAACAGAGAGAATATGCAATACACTGAAATAATGCAATTTAGTAGCCAAAACTATACTTGCATCTTGTTTCTTATGCGGAATACATTTGCAATGTAATAGAGTTAACTGAATTGACTGATTTTCCATGTGGTACAGACACATGTTCTACTCTAAAGAATGTGATTTCAAGACAATAACTGCCATTGAGCTAATGAGATCATTTGAAGACCTTTGCTTTCAAAAATAATAGCTATATGAGGCCTTGATGGATTTTGTTTTTCACTCCATTTTCACACAGCTCAGCTGGGAATCGGGATAAGCTTTACATTGTTACATATCTCAACAGGGATTTTGACGAAGTTAACTCACTTGCAAAGGTACTTTTTGTAGTGTGATAAAACAAACTCTTCTGTCCACATATTTAGTTTATTCTTGTTTGCACTTTACATGTTCAACTATCACATATGAGTTGAACACTCAGGTGTCTGCCATGCAGTGAATGTTGAGTTTCAGACTACAGTCAAATCTTTTACTAAAAAGCATTTTTACTGTAGGTTGTGGATTTCAAGTAACGAGCCATTACAAAGTGCTTAAGTTACACTGTGTATGATATGAAATGTTACAAATTGGACAATTTTGTATATTTAACTCATAACATGCAAATTCACAATTGATTTCTTACACACAAACATACGCTCAGGTTATAGGAACTGTCCATCTGTTACCGTGAGGTGTTTCAAATTCAAATCTGACATATTTCAATGTCTTCTTAAAAAATGAACTGCTGACAATCGTGCTCGGCTAAAGCCAGGTTCTCTTGTATTGTTTCTCTCAGGGCCTGCTTTCCCACTCTATTTCATGTGAAAAACTAAAGTCAGAACTTTATATACGTTTTGAAAATGTGAAATATCTGTGGTGAACTGTGAAATATACTTCACTGCCTTCATTATTAACTGTAGTTCCAACGCTGATACAGTGGAGATGAGACTGAGGTAAGTGGTCCACAGGAACCTCCAGAAAAGAAACAGATGTGGCCGGTGAGTCTTTTATCTAACACACTGGACATGGTCGGACCACCGTGGCACTGTCAGAAAGATCTGTGGGAATGACAGTTTACATACTGTAATCAAATGTTTGTATGAGGCTGATTTAACTTCAAAGTGTGAGGTCTCCATAAATAGTCTGCAGAGACAAACATGACTCTTGTTTGGCAAGAATACGCAGATTCTTGCCACTTAGATCCAGAGCGCCACCTTAAGCTCTGCCAAGTTCTCATGGATTGCTGTAACACACTGTCCAATAAATCCAACAAACTATTCCAAAGCTATGTTTATTTGCACATTTTAAATAAACAGAGATAATTGTTCATTCCTCCCATCACATAGAAAATCCACGGGAACATTACAGTTTACTTTTCATGTAATGTTCTCCACATGCCATACTCAGTTTTGATAGTGAGGCACACAATAACAGAAAATAAAAATTGCAATTGGGGCTAAGTTACTGACAAAACAAAAAGTCAAAATAACAGGCATTTCAATTATCATAGGTTTTCTTGTTTTGCAGTGGCTTCTGCATTACACAAGAATAAATAAGTGAGAACTTCGAACTACATTTTGAAAAAGATCTAGAAAGAAGTTTGATCTCCTGTTCATATTTTATATTGAAGTAATTGACGATTGTGTTCATTTGTCATGACTTCACGGGACTATTTAAGATTTAACTGTTATATATTTCTTTGTCATGTATCGTGCTTAGTGCCGTGGTAAAGGACGTTTTCAGTGGCAATGCATCAATATAAATATACTCCAGTACAACTAAACGTCATGTTTGCAAAACAAAAGTGTTATTATGGAAATATTCAAAGGGAAAATTCTCATTAATTCAATTAAATTAATTTTTGTATAGCCGAAAATCACAAATTACAAATTTGCCTCAGAGGGCTTTACAATATGCGACATCCTCTGTCCCGGAAACTTCACATCAGAACAGGAAAAACTCCCCCAAAAATACCCTTTAACGGGGAGAAAAGAGGGAGAATAGTTCCTGTAAGTGATTTTATTACTCTTATATATGATGTGTTATTATTAGTCATCTGATGCCTTTTCATGTTGTTGCTGGTGGTGTACATGTATATGCTCTTTACACGTGCTTTTTAAATGTAGGCTATACCCTTAAAGTTAATATAACTGTCTATAAAGGTAGTGGAGAACAAATGTCCTCATCAAATGTATCCTAACGTACCTATAAAGAGGCATAAAAGGGAAGTACTCAAGTGAAGTAAAAGTACCTTAAATGTGTACCCAAGTATAGTGGGCTACTAAGCTCCTCACTGGCTTTGACTTTCGACTTATTCTGCTCTAAAGAGTATATTTTAATATTAAAAACGCTTCCGTGTCGAACACGGAAGAACCCGAGTGGGTCGGTCAGAGAGAGAAGCAGGCTAAACCGTGTGGAGGCGTCCTGCTCCGCCCAGCAGCAGCAGCAGCACCAGCAGCAGCAGCAGCAGCTGCATCTTTCTACTATGAGCGACTCAATGCGAAGAGACAACCGAGGGTGAGTCAGGCCACCAGTAGGTTAAACAGTTGCGTTTTCCACCCAAAAGCCCGAGCGTCATGTGAGCGCGCTGCGACAGCGTTACGCGAAAAGAGTTGAGTAACAGATATGAATAGCGTCGGAAGGTCAGTTAACGGGGCACCTCCTGTCTCCAGCTAACGGAGGTCGGTAACGGTAAGGTCTGTAGATCAACGTCCTCCTCGCAGGTTGACTCTCTCTCCATATTTTTTTCATTGGAGCTTTTGTCAAAGCCACGTAGGACTTCAGAGACAGACCTGGGTTGATTTTTGGACAACTCAAGCAGCCACAGCACAGAAGACAAACAGGCAAGTTGTGTGCGTCTGTGTGTGTGTGTGTGTGTGTGTGTGTGTCAATGTTGAAAGCGATCATTGTCGTGTCATGAAGTTCCTGCAGAACAATTGTAGCCAGTTAAAGGTTCGCAGAGAATCAGCTGGTCTGTGCTGCTAAACTGTAGACAAACAGTAAACTCTATACCATACATCACTTACTGTAGTCTACTTATTATTTTTTATTAAGAAAGTGCTGAACAAAAGATCTGAGAATCATAACTTGAATTCTGTCTAGATCTGAGATATCAAACTGATCAACTGACAGTATTTACTATATGTTCATAATTATAGTTGCTTTATAAGGTATAATAATAGTCCTGCAATAAAGGTTCTTAGAGTTTTTTTAAAGAGCCTTTGGCCAAATAAGTGTACCTAATAAACTGGTGACTGAGGTTAAATTTTGAGTAGTTTGTTGGTCGATGCTGCCACATGATTTATAATTCGAGATAATCCATTTTCCAAGCCAGGCAAGTGAATTATCTTCAGAGCAGTTAAGTTTATTTTCTAGTTCAAGCTTCATAATGTTGTCTGTGTTCTCTGGTTTGAAATGTTTGAGTCATCCCCAACCAACAGCACTAATACGGATTCTCAAATTGACTGTATGACAGGTGAAGGGGACCGCTGGCTCGAGGGAGCAGTGCATTATTAACTCAAGATGTATCACAACAAGGCTATACTTACTTAGTAGTGTAATCTATTTAGGGTATGACATGCTGTACACAGTGTACTGTTATTGTATGTTTCTAAAAGCAAGTACATTTCTTCCAGTTGTTGTTGTTTTCATATGATGTTGTAAGTAGGCAGTGTTGATTAATCAGGCTACTTATCATGACAGTAATGGGGAAAGCACATTATTCTTGTACGTATAATTCAGGTCACTAACAAAGAACTGCACAGCTTGCTGTAATGGAGAGAAAAAACCCAGAGTTGGCTAATTTAAAATTGAACACGTTGCAGCAACAGAAAAGTTACAGCTGCAAACTTTTCACGCGTCACAATTTTTTTGGCTAAATAATGTTCAGCGCTAGTCTTTGGAGTACTTGCAGCTAGACCTGAAACCATACCAATAAAAAAAAAAAACATCCCACACTGGGATGTGGTTTAGCATGAAATGTGAGTAGCCTTGTGTTTCCCGGAGCATTGATTCATTTAGTTGATTAATTTAGTGTGCAAAACTTAACTGGCTTCATTATGACTGAAAATCCTTGCCAAAACATTTCACAGTGAGTAACTGCCCGAAGCTGCCTGGAATCAATAGCACACATTGTTTTTGTCATCTGGGAAAGAAAGCAAACAGCATGTGGAAACCGTAGGGAAGTGCCATGTTTCCACATTAACACGCAGAGAAGAGACAGGAATATTGTGCAGTAGCAGCAGTACAAAAGATGTGTCATTCACTATATCATGTTGTGTTGATTTCAAATCATCATTTACAAGTAAGTGCACCGCTTGGATACGTTTTTGCACTTTTGGGGAAGTGTAATTCCACTGAAACAACTACACCGTTGCATCAGTTCATGGGAAGCGGGCTGAGCAGTAACGCCAAGGACAATTTGAACTTTAGACACAACTGTACTGTTAGTTCAGTGGAGATTACATCCCACAGTCAAACAAATGTGTTGCTAGACTTTTTCCTGCCCACCTTTGTCTTCTTTTGATCAATTTCTTTGTTTAGCATTTGACAAAAGACAATAAGGGAAGGCTTGTATCGAGAGATCACAAAGAGGTGGCACAGTTGACTTCAATGTGAGTTTGTGGTTACTTGTCAAAACATGACGAGGTGTGACACAGACTAAAATCAATAAACAGGTTTCTAGAGCTAGATTTCCGTGACACGCTATGATCTCCAGGCTACGATTGGTGGTGTTACACACCATGCAAACAACAGCACCTGCTGTCAGAAGTCCCCATTCAGTTCATCATCAATGAGTCAGGAGTATTTTAAAGTATTGTTTGGCTGAAGGTGCTACAAATAAACTCCCCCCCCCCCCCCCCACCACAAAACTGTGTATTTACGCCTTCTAGTCCGTGTGAGGAGCCTTTGGCAGCAGTTGTAGCTTTGTGTCAACGTGTTTCTCAGCTTTGCACATCTAGAAACCATGAGAAGACTTTCCCCCACAGCACGATGCTGCCAGCACCAGGCTTCATTTTTGGGATGTTTATGCTAATGTGTGGCTAACACAGAGCTTAGTGATGGTTTCATCGGACCGTTACACTTTTCTTTCACTCCGTCATGAAGCTGTGAGCGGTCAAGCACAAAGGTGACAGCAGTTGGATGTACTGAGTCTCAGCCTGAGTTATCATGGTAGCCTCCCTTATTAGTAACACCCTCATTAATACTTCTTATAGGCTCTATTTTATACATTAATCTGATATTATTGTCTGGATTCATCGTTTGATGACTGAATGATGAAGAAACAACAGGAAGTGTTTCTACTGATACCTAAAATAACTTAAATATCAACTCAAAATTGGTTTTGTCAAAGGATTCTGTCAATTGTTTGAGGTTCGGGATGGCGTGTTAATTTTTGTAATTTTGATATCCTTGCTTTGCAGTTAGACATGGATCATTTTCATTCCCTGACATGCAGCACGGGGGAAGAGAGCAAAACATATTTTGGGATGTAACAGCCAGACGCGAATAGGACAAAGTTATTGTTCCTGTTTGAAGTGGCTCCATTGTTGATTCATCTGACTATGTTCCTGTCCAACTAAGATGTTGAGCCTTCTTAAGCCAACTCATTAATTTCGTACATCCGTTCGGTGTCGTACTGCTTCCAACAACAAGGAAAGTGATGAATAGGTGATGTTCTGTACCTGTTTAATGAGCTCTGTTTCCTAGGAGGGAAAGTTGTGGCCTTGGCTTCCATCAGCTGGGGGACACTTAAACTGCAGACAGCGACGCAGTACTCTGTAGAACCTGATTTAGTAAGCCACTGATTTTTTTTGGGAACTTGAACCAAACTTTAAAGGAAGCCCAGAAAGTTGGTTGGTAAATGCAAAATGTCCGGCGACCGACTTAAAGAGGCCATCATCATCATCAGCAGCAGCCAGCGTTGAAGCAGAGCGGCCATTAAGGGCACAATGTGTCCGAGTTGATAGCGCTCAACCACAACCAGCAGCAAGGCCCAGATAAGGAACTGGTCGAACTTTCTGCCTGTCTGCTCCGTGATAAACGTGTCGGGTGTGTAAACACACTGACAGAAAGTTGGAGAGCAGTGTTGCTGCTGTCCTTCCTCTTGTTTGTTTCAAAGGTCTCCAACTATGGAGCATCAATAATGTTCTGCCCCACCTGTTAACCAAAGCAGTACTTTGCATTATCCTTTGCTTAGTTCTTTACTTTAACTTTGCAGCAGCTTCTGTGTAGTATCCTACATGGAATGACGTAATCTGTCAAACATCAACAGTTGAAATGTACATTGTGTGTGTGTGTGTGTGTGATGCTTGTTTTGAGTGAATTCATTTTCTTGTTGTCCTTTTATATGTTATTTGTTCTCAGGTCTCTCTCGCAAAAGAGATCCAAATCTGAGTGAATATAGCCTAACTGAACGTTTTACTCCATTGCACTCCATGATGTAATTGAAATGGGAGCTGTTACTAGGTGTTAACGTTGGACTACAGCCACTGTGATGCTAAATCCTTGAGAAAATCTCTGGATACTGAATGTGCTGGAGGGCACTAAGTAACAAAATAACAAATTCGGAAAAACACAGTTAATGTTCAGTTGTTGCAGAAATGGCCCAAATCCTACTGCATGACAATTGCAGTTACCCAATAGTACGCTAAAGGATCTAAAGAGCAATGATTTCAGCATTCAGATAATCTAAGTTCACCCATTACTTCGTAGCATTACGTCTTTTTGTTGTTGTTTTTAAGGAGCTTTTGGTTCAGTATGGTCTACAATATTGTTGTTAACATTTACTTACTTCACCAACACTAATTGGCTGTGCCGCACCAGCTTTTCACTGTTTGTGGTGTGTTGCTGTAGGTCATCATTGCAGTAGAGAGTATAGATTTTATAACCATAAACTTCGACCCTGTACAGGACAATGATGTATGAAATAATGCAAGGAAGTTATGAAATCACTCACTCATCTCCATTGTTCAGGCTGGCGTATTGGGTCACTCCACCTCCTTCTGTCTTTGGCCAATAATGTTCCGAAAAGTATAAACCATACGATTACTCAATATCCACCTAAAATGACTTAACACATTAAAAACAGTATATTGTTATTTTTTCTTTAATATCTATAAGACCTTTAATTAAAACCCTCACAGACACACACACAGTTTGTTTACCATCTGCTTCAAGCACTGTTATGCCTCGTCAGCAAGCCTGTCATCAAAAGCAGACTGCCAGTGCAGAGCCACATGCCATAGAAGTCTATTTCCATATCCGACTTGAAAACATTAAATTCTGTTTTCATTTATGTGTATTTTAGTCCTTCATACAATGAAATGCATCACAGCGAAATAAGATGTCAAAGATGTTACTCAACAATAGCATGACCCTGTGAGGGCAATTAATTACACTTGATCCCTTTGCAAATGCAAATGTACACAAGTCATGCTAGTGGCATGCAGATGTCAAGCAGGTATAATGTTTGCTATGATCACCATCTCAGTTTAGGCATGCTACACTAAGAAACTAGTAAAATAAGATTTGCCAATCAGCAATAAACACAGCTGAGGCTTATGGGATGGCTTAATGTCCTTAGTGTTGCAAATCTTTGGTTATAAACCAACGTATTGAAGGAATTAAAATGTTGACCTAATGATTGCACTAGATGAAAGATCAGCGGATCATGAATATCAGTGCATATCATCTTGGATGGGACTTCATTGTGCTTACCAAATGGCACGGCAATCCATCCAATAATTATTGTAGAGATGTCAACCTGTTGGTTACTAGAGTAAACACAGGAATAGAGACAGTACCAAATGTTTTCCATGTGTAAAAACAATGAAGTGCCTACGTACGTATATAGTTTTAGGACTAGAACTGCTGAGAGTCTGTATAGTAAATGTACTGCTCAGCAGTCTTGTGATGAGTGTGTTCTTGTGTTCTGATAAGTAACTAGATCAATTGTAGGCTAATTGACTATAAGTACTGCTTGTGTCCGCTAACAGTGTATGGTTATAGAGAGCGATACCATAGCATCTCGGACATCTGAATATCGCACTCAAGTCGAGGGCGACGCTTATCAGAAGACACATTTGTGATTGGCCGAGTTGCATCACATGACATGGTTTACATCTCCGTCTTATATCTTTGTCCCCTGACAGGTGGATGTTTGTTTTACGCAGCGCATGGCCTGTATTCTGCTGACCGACATGGAGCCACCCATCTCCGTTCCCAAAGAATCAGAATCAGAATCAGAATCAGAATCAGCACATCTTAATGGCCTCCTACCTGACCTCGACCCGGCCGCTGGACTCGACTCCAAGCAGGACACGGACGCCACCTGCCTCACTGTCCACCTGTACTACCTGGAGAAGGATGGAGCAGAGGGTGACGGTTCAGAAAGCGTGCTCACGTTTCCACCAGGGGAGTACGTAGCAGAGGAACTGTGCATAAGTGCAGCGAAAGCGTGTGGTGAGTCACAAGAGGATTTCACAAAATATAGTTTAGTTAATTCAATATAAATTAAGCTATTTTTTAACATCAGTCTAATAAGGGTTTTAAATTATGCTTAAAAAAATACATCAACAATATGAGAAAACAGAGGGGAAAAAAAGAAGGACATTAAAAATATAGTGGTGTGACAATGTATTCTATTGTTCTGTTTAACAAGTATGATTTGAACGATTCATAAATTCTTAGTGCCATGTTCAAAACCTTGAGCAATTCACTGGTTAGATGACAACCCTGTTTTTATTGCCACACATCTGGATGTTTGTGCAACCTTGTGAAGTTCTGCTTTAGCATGTGACGTACACCTCGTTGAGAAACAACTGTAAGTGCGTCAGGCTAAATAAACATTGTTTTATTAAAGAGTCTCAAATATAACACCTCTGTACACATATTTTTGTTATTATGCACAGTAGTTAAGGCACATTTCCAGGCATGTGGGCATTTTTGCTCAGTTGAACATGTCTTGACATTATTGTTAAGCATCAAATTGAATTAGAAATACATAAGAACAGTGAGGTATTAAGTCCACTGCATACAAAAAGAAAAGTCCCTTCTTGCATCAATGCATTTGTCTGTGTAGATCCCAGACTGGACTATAAATGGACATAGTGTAACGCTTGTGTTTACGTTTCATGCATGCTGCCATCTTTGTCAATAGGGGTAAAGAGCTTGTAAGGCTGAATTAGGCCTTTAAGTACAGACACACTATCTTTCCATCCAACATTAATAAATACATATCAGCAATATATTTTAAGCAGCAAGCGCATGCTTGAATTGTTCCGTCATACTGGCCTCAATACAAGTGAATAGGGAGGCAGTGTAAATACTTGTAGTTAAGTGTAGTGTGATCGTGACTTCAGCCAAAACTGAGTTAGGACACGCGGTTGGCCAATCACAAACTGTGATACGCTGAAATATCTGTCAGGCAAGCAAAACGTGTCCCCAAAGCACATTTCCCACGGCCAGGACACACATGGGAGGATGTGTTTTTTTTTTTTTACAACTGAGCCTTTAACTTTAAAAGCATGCATGTACTTCCCTCTCCACACAGTTTATTAGGACATTTTCTGAAGTTTCTGCCTTTAATTTGTTTATACATCTGTAGAAAAGCTTTTTTTGTTCACTTCAAGATGGTGGGAAATCTGATCCAAGTATCCAGTAGCCATCTTGTGGCTGTGCGCTTTAAGGTATTGATCAGCTTGGTTTCGATTTATCCGCCATCCAGGCAATAAGAAAGTAAACAATCAAATGGACTGCTTGGCCAACGCTCAAGAGCATTTGTTGTTTATTTACGTGGCTTCTTCATCGGCTCCAAATGCATCCAACTTCATTCCTTATACCAAGACCTTCCTGGTGAAGGACTTCAGATAGGCGCTTTTGCCATCAGAGCCGACACAGTGTTTGTTTTGTGGAAACAGAGCCACTGGCTCTTCTCTTTCTAGCAAACACAAATCAGGAAGTTGTCGACTGTTGCGTCTATTTTGCTCTCCACCCTCGCTCTATCTCTCTCCGACACGCTCTCTTGCTCCATTCCCACATGAGCCGATAACAAACGACCTCTCTCGAATTCTTCCATATCCCCTTGCTTTTTCAACTTCCTTTGTCCTCGCGTTTCTCTGTCTTTACACTTGAAGTCAAACATTGTCACCTTCCCAACAGTCAGACCTGATATGATTGAACTTAAATAGGTGGAGAAGTTCTGTCTATATTCAATCTTTTTTTTTTCTCCTCTTTATTTATTTAGTCGGACCTCTGACTATCTGTATCTATATATAAAACGGTGTGACGTATGTTGTCAAGCCGTATAATGCAATGCTTCTCAGCTACTAAGGTGTGAATACAGTGACTTACTGTGCAGTGCATTGCTCTCTTGTTTTGGCAGGCTGTGGCTCTGGAGCTAGAGCGGGTCATCCTTTAATCACAAGGTTGGTGGTTCGATCCCCATGTCTAAGTGTCCTGGAGGGAGACACTGAACCCTAAGTTGGTCCCAGAGCGGGTCCTATGTGCTTGGGTGCATTAAATACAGAGGTCAAATTTCATGAATGTAATATATATTTCAATTGAAAGAAAGTTTACTTTAATGTCACAAATAAGACAAGGTAGAACTTTCTTAAAGATCAACTTTCTTAGTTCTTTGACTCCACTTCCTCTGTTGCTTCCTCTAACGCACCCTCGTACCATTGCTTCACTCTGAGAGAGGGCTTCCTGCTATGTGAGGAAATGTTCCATCTGCTATTGATCCACATGTCCGACTGGTAAAACACCTCACTGTAAGAACAAATGAGTTCACAGGAGGTCCGGACTTTAAATATGGTTGGAAACGTGGTCAAATGCCGATACCACCACATAAAAAGAAAACCCTGTCTGTTGATAATACGTATTAAGATTGTGCTTAACCGCCTGTGTTTGATACAAAAACACCTTACAAAGTAACTCATGCACTCGATGTCTGCGTTAGCAAAAAAAAAAAGTTTAATGTAAACGTAATGAACAAAAGGAAGAATATTGCTGAAGAAAAATCGGATTACTTCCGCCAAAAAATCACTCGCAAGCCTGAGTTCAATCACCTCTGCCAACTGCAATAGTTTGGCGTGACAGACTTTCTTGCAGCCAGCGCAGAAATTTGCATGGAAAATTGTAGTAGGTGCACCATTGGACTCACCGTTAGAAGAGCTGTAGGGGACACGTCACGGTGGGTCTCTCTTTAGTTCAGGCATATGCATGAGAAGTCTCTCAAAGGCCGATTGTTTCTAACTTCCAAGATCATTGGTCCTAAAAACTGGTATTTTGAAGACATAATGAGGAATTGTAGAAAAAAAAAAACATACAAGTGGGACTGACATTCCAGGAATCCGGAATTCAATAAAATTTCCCCCAAATTAGGCTATTATCGTCGGAAGAAGTTGTAAAAGTCATCCATTTCAAACAGTACTCCTGGCAACAGTCAAACTCACAAAACTGTTCATGGGAACTTCAGACGATGACAACGAACTATGAATATGCTTCCAGTCTACATTGCTACCACGACACAAGCTGTGTGTGTGTAAACATACAGTACATATATGCTAAACTTTGTGTATTTCTAAATATTAGCCAGTTGTTGTTCTATAGTGGCAACTAATTAGTAACGTAGATGCAAGAGCTCTAAAAACTTGTTCTTTATTTCAAACTTAGGTATCAATAACGAATGTGTCAATTGGCTTCTTTAATTTGAATTACAGGTATGAGGTTGCCCACTGTCCTTAGTTCCAGAATACATTTCTGTATTATGGTACACAGAGGATTGTTTTCTTGTCTTTTCAGGGATTGCTCCCGTGTACTGCAGCTTGTTTGGCCTCATGAGGGAAAGTGACAGGATATGGTTTCCTCCTAATCACATCTTCAAATTGCAGGAGCCAGCCAGTGAGAGCCTGCACTTCAGAATCAGGTAGATGTTTTTCACTGTGTGTCTTCCCCCCCCCCCCTTGATGAGTCATTTATGTTCAGATTAATTTCCTTACTGGAACTTCTGTGATCTCTTTTTCTATCCAGATACAATTTTTCTGGCTGGTATAACAGCGGCAACACACTGAATGCCCATCGCTATGGCCTGTCCAAGGGGACGGAGAGCCCCGTGATGGATGACTGTGTCATGGCATACCAGTTTTTTCAGGCGAGTCTTTACAACTTCCACTTCATATTACAAGTCAGCTATTTTAGGTATTTTCCTTAAACCAAACCAAAGAACAGTGTCTTTGAGATGCCCTCTCCTTCGCCTCAACCCCACTCTTTTAAAACATAACAATGAACAGAAATGTTGGGTGGGAGGAGATACAAATCTGCTTGCTTCCCTCCATCTCTGTCTGTCTGTGTCATTACAGCCAATGTGTCAGTCAGAAAACAGGAAGTGGGGTAGTAAGAAGTGCAAATGGGGAACAAATGTTCTCTTCACTCTGTGTTTGCTCGTGTGTGTGTGTTTGCATGAGCGTTTTAAATAGTTACCGCTTTTTTTTTTTCTTCTTTCCCACACGTGTGAACTTGACACATGCAGCTCTGTTCAGCTTTGTTTTTATCTCCACTGTGTGAACAGATTGACCTACAGAATGTTTCACAGGCGCCTGTTGTTGTAGAGCTTGACTTGTGCAGGCCCAACAACCTAACCAGGACTGAGTTTGTTGATGTAATATTGAATAAAAGGAGTTTCCCCTTTAAAACAGACTTTTTTTTTATCCTAGCATACATCTTCATGTGCCATAAAGAGACTATAATCGGTCCGATTACTGTTAATTTCTTTGACAAATCTAAGATTTACTGAATTTGATATGTGAAGTAAGCCAATAGTGCACTTGGTAAGGCATTTGGCATCTGTTTACCTGCTCCTTCCCCATCTCTCACGCTATTCTTCTACTTCTGTCCATCGAACATCTGTTTTTTTTTTTTCCTCCTCTAGAGGCGTAGTGACTTTCTGAATGGCTGGGTTCAAATTCCAGTGAGCCACGAGGCCCAGGAGGAGTGTCTGGGCATGGCGGTGCTGGACATGATGAGGCTCGCCAAAGAGAGCGATCAGTCACCTGTGGACATTTACAATTACACCAGGTAGGAGGCACTCACTCTCCAGAGGCAAACGTAGTATCGTTATTCTGATTATTTAAATTATTTAAAATGTGAATATGAAGGGCAGCCTGGTAGAATCATCTCTCTACTAAAAGCCTCGAACATTATACGCTCAGAAAAGTTTACCACTTAACTATAAAGCAGCCTTTAAGACAAGGAAAATAACACAAAACAATGATCTGAAAATTCCAGACGGGTCGAGTCTCATATATGCCGCACACTCTCTTACCTAAGTAATGGGAAATGCTCGCTGTCATGCTGGTGTGCATGTTGTGCAGCTCATGAATAACAATTTCTCCTCAGAACACAGTGAGCATCTAGTTTCATTATGCGCGTTCATGCAGCTGAATGAATTATCTCTTTGTGTGAGATGATGTTTCGGTTCAAAAGGTGTGTTGCGCTTCAAATATTAATTCTCCTCAAATTTCCCTTTCATACATAATTCAACATCAATATTGATGTTAGTTTTAGCTAACCTTTTCAGGATTATTGACTAATTCTCCTGAGGTGCACGCAGCATGTACACTGGCTGAACTGCCACAAAGCGTTAGCGTTTGCTCTTTTAACCTCGTTTCCTCTTTCATTTCCCCCTCCCTTCTCCCTGTGCCTTTCCTGTTATTTGTTGATCACATCCTCCTCATTTCAACCCCTTCCCCACTTTCAGCTACAAATCCTTCCTGCCGAGATGCATGCGAAGCCGCATCCAGGAATACAACATCTTGACTCGGAAGAGGATCCGCTATCGCTTCAAGAAGTTCATCCAGCAGTTCAGGGAATGCAAGGCCACGGCGTGCAACCTCAAGCTCAAATACCTGATGAGCCTGGAGATGCTTCTGCCCTCCCTCTACTCCGAGCGCTTCCAAGTCACCGACCTCTCCGCGCACCAGGTTACCATCATTGTGACGGGCGACACGGGCATCCAGTGGTCAAAAGGGAAAGAGGAGGAGAAGGGAGCAGAGGGGGTGAGGGCCGAGGGATGGGTTGATGTTGCCTTGGTAATGCATTTGTACACACAGTCTGCCACAGTGTGAAGCTGCCATGGCTGTTTTTTAACCAATAGATGGAGCTCTAGGAGTTGGTTAAAATTGCCAATAACGACAAAAGCGCATGTGTGCGCACGCTTCTTCGTCGAATACAAACGCAATCCACTATTTTGTGCTCTTTTTGTGCCTCCAGGAGCTAAAATCATACTGTGACTTCACAGAGGTGATCGACATCAGCATCAAACAGGCCAATAAGGAAGGCTCGGTGGAGAGTCGCGTGGTTACCCTCACCAGGCAGGACAACCAGTTCCTGGTAGAGTACACACTTGACTCCTCTTCATGAGTCAGTATCAGCCCGATATCCGTATCGGTGCATCCTTACATAAAACAGGGATTAAAGGTTTACTGTTTACATTGATTTAAAGTTAGAAATGGGCGCTGAATGATTTATGTTTGTCCTCTTCTGCACCCCTCTTCTTACCGCAAAGGAACTGGAGTTCCATTCGCTCCCAGAGGCTCTCTCTTTCGTATCATTAGTTGATGGGTATTACAGGCTGGTTGCAGACGCCCATCATTATCTGTGTAAAGAAGTGGCTCCACCGAGACTTCTGGAGTGCATTCAGAGCTACTGCCACGGCCCTGTGTCGTGAGTATCACACACACACACAGATATAGTACGTAACTCGTGCACCCGCAACCACAGTTCTATTCTCACACACACACATTGTCTCTTTGATCACAGGATGGAGTTTACGATCGCTAAGCTGCGTCGCTCTGGTAACCACCAAGGCCTGTACATCCTTCGCTGCAGCACGAGGGAATACGACAAATACTTCATGTCCTTTGTAGTGGGGGTAAGCTATTAATGTTTGGTCATAATCAATTTAAAGTACCGTATTTCTTACACATGACTCAAATAAACAGGCTCCTTCAACACAGTCTTTGCTAACTGATAGACATCACCTTCAGCCCACGACCACATTCATCACAGCAGATATCTCTTCTATTGGCTGGGACAATGCGTCAACACAACCATTAGACTATAATGAAGATAGAATGAATTGCTTGGAAGTGATGGGAGACAAAATGTATAATGTGAGGCTTCAGCAGTCTGACTGGACAGATAAAGGGGGTGTCTTCCAAAGTTACAGTTATTTATGACTAAATTCCCTCTTTGTGTTGCTGTCCCTCCACTGCAGCCTAGCAAGCAACTGTCCCTGAAAACAAAAAGTGTGACTTTAACTCTTTACTCTCACTTTAAGTGATTAACACTGCTGAAACCTCATGTTAACTTCTGATAAACATCGTAATGTATAGTTGCACAGAAAGAGGACTGTGGATGTTGTCCCCCATCACTTTATGAATGGATAATTTCATGGCCAGTATAGACAAGAGGACTGAGAGCAAAACCTGTATCAATGTTTATACTGTTAGGGCACCTGACTGTAGTTTCTTCAGCTATTATGTCTTCTTTTTTTCTTTATTGCAAGACAAGAGACAATACATAGACATAACAACAAGAGGACGACAAGAACAAGTGGGATACAAGCCAGCAAACATCATATAGTCAGTGTATGGGAGAACGGTGTGTGTGTGTGTGTGTGTCCTTGAGCCTTTTGAGATGAAAAACAAAAAACAAAATGAAAAAAAATGAAAAATAACATAGGAAAATACATAAATGGGGGCAAATTACATAAATTATAAAATAATAACGTCCAGAAAAAGAAAATGCTTTTAGCGTAAACAAAGTCATGGGCAGTATCGCCCCGTCCACTGGTATTATGTCTTCTGACTGACACTGACTCAATCACATGTGTACTTTGTAGTCTTTTTGATAATACTGTTGGCATGTTCCGAACAGTTTAGCTGTAATGAGTGCTATTTTTTTTGTTTTCAGCTTGAAACTATGGTGGACTACAAGCACTGTCAGATCACGAAGACGGAGTCAGGAGAGTACATTCTGAGTGGTGCCAAGAGGAGCTTCGGCTCACTCAGGGAACTTCTGCACTGCTACCAAAAGGAGGTGCTCCGCACCGATGGATACACATTCCAGCTGACCAGGTGCTGCTCACCCGGCCTCAAAGGTAAACATGCACACACAAGACACTAACAAGAATACTGTATGTATACATGCACACATATTACCACAGGTAAAAGAACACATACACAGTAAAATGCAGACATCCAATGCACCAGAAATATTCTCCAGCACAGCTGAGACCTTTTCACTGAGTTATTATGGAGCTAACCTTTTGTTATTTGCTTCTTTGTCCATAAGGCTGCAAGAATAAGCAACAGCATCCTGTTAATCATATATAGATGAACTCATATTTTAAGCTGGATCGATTGTCAAAATTTGAGTGAGTTTTGTTAAGTTTTGATAGTTAATTAATTCATTATTGAAGCTCATTTGGATCAATACCACATAAGTTGTATTCATGATTAAGCAGTCTAATTTCCCAATTGCTAGCTGTTGCATTCCTAATTCATATTTGTCATTTAATGGTATCACACATCGGAAAGCTGCAACCCTCCGGCAGTGACAATCAGATGTGGTGTCAAAGTGTGAGTTTGATGTGAGTTTTCCTAATCCCTGCCCATCCTTACCTTTCTTCAGATAAATCCAACCTGGTGGTGTGTAGAAACAATCAAGGTGCCGATGTCCCACTGTCTCCCTCGCTCCACAATCACAACATCAGCCAGATGGTCTTCCACAAGATCCGAAAAGAGGACCTCGTCATCGTAAGATAACCCTCCTCACTTTAGCTGAAAAAAGCATCCAAACAGTCGTAACTAGGCCGTTTCTACGCTCTTGTTAGGTTGTATACCAATACTGACTAAAACACTCGTATCAGATTAGATGCATTGTAGAAGCTTAGAATCAAACTGTCTCAAAAGGCTCTTGTTTACGAGTTCCTGAACAGATAAGTTAGGATCTGCACCAAAGTGGGTGGCCAGTGTCTTTGTACTTGTGTAATAACACTGAATGTAAAGCCAAAATGTACTGATGCAGGCCTTCTGTAGACAAGGTAACATTGTAAACATGTCAATATGCGTGAGCATGCCACAAGTATCGACCAGAAAGGACGAGAAGGATTCCTGTTGGGTCCATGAGGTCGCTACAATTAGCAACAACACTTCCTCAATTGATTCCCCCGTTGTAACTCAGCGTCAATAGCAGTCTCTGTGGACATGTGCGAGTACAGAATTGTGTATGTCAGCCATGCTCTCACCTCGTTGACTGCTCTGTCTGTCTCACCATCTTTTAGTTACAAGTTTTGTACAGCAGGTGTGTCACAAGAAAACCGCTGACGCTGTTCCTCCAATCAGAGAGCTCAGGGTTTTTCCTGTACTGCAATATTGTCTTCTCACTCATCCCGTACCAGATTCAAGATGGGTTTTCTTTTAATCTTACTGCTTTAAACAGGTGTTCAGCTTTCTTGTGCATTTAGATCTTTTTAATATCCTGGCCTTAAATCTATTTTGTTGGATCTTAAGCAGACCAAGCCATGAGGTCAAATAGGGTGGAGGTGGAAGGACAGTCAGCAGTCGGCTTTAATCAGTTTGGTTTCTGGGCTGCAAGTGAGGAAGCTTGTAGCTTCCATTATCTCTTTGATATGTAAGTTCGAGCATCGTTTATCATATAGGTCTTTGCCTTTATTATGATTATTTCTAAATAAATATGCTCCTTGGTAATTCTTCTTGGAGAGTGTATTGGCAGTTTAAACCTACTGTCTTATATTAGGCCTCTTGGCTAAGTGCTTGTCTCTTTCTGCCTCCTGGAGCATCCAACCTTCGGCTTCCCAGCCAATGTTGTTGTGTTAAGCATTCAACTATTAACTCCCAACAAACAGAAAGAGACACTAGACGTGAGGTTATGAATCTACAGACAAAACACGGTGTCTTCAAGACACCTGCTAAAGGTCAAAATATGTACACGTGTCTTTATTTATCTCAACTCCATTCAGTATCTCTCTGGCCAGCCAGCTGGGGAATCCCCATTGTCAAATAAAACTCTTAATACTCTAAAAAGATCAGCTTGCTCCTTGTGAATTCCTCTTTAAAGTGCCACCACAGATCGTTCCAGTACTTTATGGTGAGAGAATATCGGGCAAAGAAGTGTCTTTTTGACTCAGAAAGCCGTAAAAGTCAACATAATAAAACTCTTGTGTTGTAGAATGAGAGTCTGGGCCAAGGAACTTTCACCAAGATCTTCTGCGGTGTGAGGAAGGAGCTGGGAGACTACGGAGAGATACATCAGATCGACGTCGTTATTAAGATCCTGGAAAAGGCTCACCGCAACTATTCAGAGGTTGGCCTGTTGAGGGAGTGAATGAGTGAGTGAGTGAGTGAGTGAGTGGATCAGATTAAATAAATTCTGGGGTCATGAGTTGAAAGGAGATAAGGTAATCGGATCTCTTCTCTTACTTTTCCCTCACAGTCCTTCTTTGAAGCAGCCAGTATGATGAGCCAGCTCTCCCACAAGCACTTGCTCCTCAACTTTGGCGTGTGCGTTTGTGGCAATGAGAGTAAGTCTGTAACACACACACACACACTACTGGACCATATATGGTCACAAAGGATGAAATCATTGTGGTTATCCTCACCTGTGGCATATAAAAAGGACACTTTAAGATTTTAGATTAGAGGGATGTTGAGACCAAGACAAGGAGGCTGTTGTTCTCCTGAACACAAAAGAGCCAGTTTTCACACTACAAACAGTTGTGTTTACAAGAGTTAAGGTTGTCCCTGTAGGCAACTGAGACAAACAGAGAGGAAATAAGGTTTCTGACCCGTTCTCTGCTGTGCCCTGACCCTTCCACTGTGACCACATTAAGCCCCCAGGAGTCACTAATGGGCCACTGCGGCCTTGATCTTTGCTCCACCTGAAACTGCCCACACACATCAGAGCAGTATTGTCTGGAGGCATTCACCATTCACACTTCTGAGTGCAGGAAAAGAGCAGGCTGGAACGAAAAAACTAAAGATTATAATAAACTAGAAAATTCCTAAAGAAATTTTGACAGTGTGGCTTCTACTGCCCGAAGACGTCGCAATATATAACTACACACGCCGATGTTACCGGTAGTATCGTTGAGCTTTGATTGATATATCGCTTCTCTCTTTTCTGCATTTTAGATTCATACTCTTGGATTGAATCTTGTATTCGTGATGGACAGTCCACAAATGGCTCCCGTCATTTCTGTACTGGACATAAACATCTTTGTTTGAGAAGCCTTTGGAAATTATGGGAGCTGACGCTCCCGTCATTTCTGTACGAATATTTAAGACCTGAATGACTGTATGATAGAGAGAGAGAGAGAGAGAGAGAGAGAGAGAGAGAGAGAGAGAGAGAATAACTGGTTGCCATAGTGAGGAAGCACCTGGTGTTAGAGGCAGACTGATTACGAAACTTTACAGTAAACAGTGATTTTGAACAAAACCCCTTCCTCCTTTTAGCAAAAACTCTGAGTGCCAAAATATGGATACCGTGAGAAAGATAAGACTCTGCCGAACGCGCTGATGTGTTTTTTATGTTTGTGGTGTTAAAAATGTGAGCTCCAGATTAATAGACAAAACTGGTACCGTCTGCTTTCTTTGAGAAATGAGTGGTCAGATTTAACATGGAGTCTAATGGAGCAGTTGGCTGGAGTTCATGTCGCTCTGCGGCTCTTTGAGCCAAATGTGTAAGTCCGTTGGATTCCATAGACACTTTACTGCGACCAGCACATTTCCAAGCTTTTTGGCCAAAATGGTGTATAAAGAGTAAAAATTGTGGGAGCTGGAGCAATTTGTTTGGAAAAATTACAGAATATTTTCCTGCTCCGCTCCACTCTGACGGTTATGCTCTCACTCTAGCTCTTAACGAGCCGTGCAATACACACCCATTATAAAATCTGAAACAGACACAAAATTTTCCTGAAACTTAATCTGTGACTTCATGAAAACTGTGCTAGCTATCAAAATGTCCATTTGGCTCAATAAAGTGCAGCGTTTTGTCTACGTTTTAAACTTTGAATCATGTTTCTACGTTAATGTACGGCTAGTCAATATGGGTCCAAAGTTTAGTGTTTTTTTTTTTGCTCTCTTCACACCGAAACCCCATTCAAGTCAATGGGGCGATTTTGCTCTGTTTTTTGGGATTTCCGGGAAAACCGCTGGGCGAATCTCTCCGAAAAATAGATAGCACACTATTCCCGATTGGGCCGCACGTTTTAAGGTATTTTTCACGCCGCTGTTGGCAACGGCAGTTTCACTAACTACCTGTGCCACAAAGCCACACTGAATGACTTAGAAATAGAGATAGCAGCAACACTCACACAAATATATGTATTGTCGTTTTGTGTCCGAACACTATTTTTGGGGCATTGAGGCATCATGAATTACAGCGATAGCCCAAAAAAACAAATTTGCTAATATGCAGGCATATAAACAAATGAATAAATATAAATTAAAATATATTTCTTAGTCTGTGGGGACTTGGCTTGGGAACTGGAGAGTCGCCAGTTAAGGTCCCCTCACATGTGTCTGTAAGGGGACTGGACTTTATGACCATAGATAGATTTCTCATGTGGGACAATGAAACCTGAACTGCATCAGATGGCAAACTGTGGATGAAGACATTAATGGATGCAGACGGTGTTCTGTCTATAACTGCTGTCAAAGTGTCTACAGGAAACCACAAACTGGAGTTCTGTTGAAAAGATTTTCTACAGTAGTGATTACAGTAGTAGTGATTAATAAAAACATGATGTCTCTCTCATCTCCCTGTCAGACATGATGGTGCAGGAGTATGGCAGATTTGGTTCACTGGACACGTACCTGAAAAAGAAAAAAAGCTGTGTTAACATCACCTGGAAGCTAGAAGTGGCCAAGCAGCTATCCTGGGCCATGCACTACCTGGTAAGACTCCCGACATAATGCAGTACAAACTACAGATCTGTATGGGGCAGCACATTTACACATTCTGATATTCGAGGTAAAGAGAAATATCTTCAACTCATGTGCAAATAAAACTAGTTGAGCGTGGGTGCCTTACAAATGTAATTAAATTTGTCTCTGTCGTGTGTCTGCCCGCAGGAGGACAAAAACCTCGTTCATGGAAATGTTTGTGCCAAGAATGTCCTTTTGATCAGAGAGGAGGATCGGATGACGGGCAGCCTGCCCTTCATCAAACTCAGTGACCCAGGTATCAGCATCACCGTGCTGCCCAAAGAAGGTGAGAGACTTGGGAGTCACGTACTGTCCTGATGTGAGACAACCTAATGCCTCTGTTGAGGCACAAGTCATGTGAACATAGTTTTGCTTTGGTGTGATTTGTTGTTTTTTTCCTCCCTCCTTGCCGTCCACGTCACCCTCTTATTCCGTTCACATGTTTCCTTCCCTCTGTGCTTCTGTCTCTCCTCATGTCCATTCATCAGTTCTGGTGGAGCGTATCCCGTGGGTGCCCCCCGAGTGCATTGAAAACCCACAAAACTTGAGTTTAGCCACAGACAAGTGGGGCTTCGGGACCACCCTGTGGGAGATCTGCAGTGGCGGAGACAAACCGCTCTTCACCCTGGACTGCTCAAAGGTCACAAAAACAGAAGATGCATTCAGATTATTGACTTACTGAAAACGATCTGTATTAAAGTAATAGTTCGATATTTTGGGAAATGTTGATTTCATTTGGTTGCCCCGCCTCACTGACTCCAGGAAGTCACTTCTCCCCAGCAAGAAATAGATCCAGTGTAATTCTTACACTGTGGTGTTCAGGCTAGCTGTTTTCACCCGTTTCCAGTCATTATGCTAAGCTAAGCTAACCAGCTGTTGGCTGTAGCTTCATATGTACCGTACAGACATGAGAGTGGCATCACTCATAGCTCATAACATTTGTTTTAAAGTGAGATGGACTTATTTGAAACATATTCTGTTGATTATTCTAAGAACGTGTGCCAACTCGGTTTGAATACATGCAGGTTCTGACTTTTGCTCTTGTGCCCTGCAGAAGAAACTGTTCTATGAGGACAGGCATCAGCTGCCGGCTCCCAAATGGACCGAGCTGGCCAATCTGATTAACAGCTGTATGGACTATGAGCCCTCACACCGGCCCTCCTTCAAAGCAATTATCAGGGATCTCAACAGCCTCTTCACGCCAGGTAGGAAGAGAAAATGAATGTACAGGCCTCTGCCAGAGTCTCCTGTAAGTGTCTCTTACAGACAGATCTATTGATCATGTGGCTACACACTGCCCTACACACTCTTCGTTGACCATTTTTATAAAAACGACTTTGCACCCTGTTGTGTTGCAGACTATGAGCTGCTGGTGGAGAGCGACATGGTGCCCAACAGGACAAGAGGCGTCGGCTTCCCGTGGGCCTCCGAGAGCCAGGAGCCCGCCCAGTTTGAGGAGAGGCACCTCATCTTTCTCAAGCAGCTGGGCAAAGTGAGACATGCAGACACACACAAACTAGATTATTATCAAGAATGTTCTTTTTCTTTTATCTCCTTCATAGTATTTAGATATTGTCTTTAAGGGTGCATGTTTTTTAATAACTTATTTGCTCGATATTTCTTCATTACACCTCCCTTAAGTCATTTTTAATACCAACATTTGTTTAAGCATTATAAATAATATCAGATCAACAAAACTGCCGTTCACGCTCTCTCGAGGTGTTTTTTGTTTCAGTTCGTGTCTCAATGTGGGTGTTGGAAATGAATCTTTCAGATAGATTATGATACAGAGTAGCAAACGTTAAACTCACATGACTAATCAGCAGTTTCAGCTAGCATCTTAAATATTCTCATAATACTTTCTAGAAAGCAGGACGTTGCTCTGAGCACTATTTGATATGGGAGAAAACTTAATTCTGAAGATGATGTGTATTGTTTTCTGTCATAACTGAACTAAATGTATACTTTGCTACATTAGAAAAGCTCATTCAATGTGTGCTCTAAACCAAGAAGAAATCATAGCTGTTCCTACGTCTCTTAAATGTGCTCTCTCCTCTGACATCACGCTGCAGGGAAACTTCGGCAGCGTGGAGATGTGCCGGTACGACCCCCTGCAGGACAGCACGGGGGAGGTGGTGGCCGTGAAGAAACTGCAGCACAGCACCGCCGAGCACCTCAGGGACTTTGAGCGGGAAATCGAGATCCTCAAATCCCTCCAGCATGAAAACATTGTCAAATACAAAGGAGTTTGCTACAGTGCAGGTACAACCACATTTTAAAAAACATATATGGACTTTTTTTTGGGGTTCGAAAATGTGTTTGTTTATTAATATATGACACAGTAATCAAGATGAATGACGTCAGATTATGTGTGCCATATTCTTTATAAAAAACATAGTGATATAAGCTGGTGTTTCAACATCAGTAGTCGTAAATTGATGAAAGGAATAAGAAGACTGCTGGATGAAAAAAAACAACAGTTTTCTTGGTTGGAAAAAATGCAGATAAAGCAAATTATTTGCCTGATTAATCTGGATTCTTACGTTAGATGCAGGAGGGGTTCAGTGTTTTTCTTTCACTCTAGTGATGGAACAAATTTACCTTTGATACGATCACCCGGGCATGTTTTGTTAAACATAATAATGTCGTTACGGTTGCAACATTTGCTGCCTAGGGCGCCAGTGACCATGCCCATGAAACAAATGAATCTTGATTTTCTCACAGGGCAGCCACGCTACTCATTCGTCATATTTCCTCTCCTAAGTGTCACACTTAACTTTGTTTCCGCAGGTCGAAGGAACCTCCGGCTGATCATGGAGTATCTCCCCTTCGGCAGCTTGAGAGATTATCTCATCAAACACAAGGAGCGCTTTGATTTCAACAAACTGCTGCACTATGCGTCACAGATTTGCAAGGTAATGCAGTGCAGTAGGTGGTGCTTTGTGGAAGCCCACCTTGTCATACATACATTATTGGTGTCGTGAACATCTGAAACGGCTCTTCCTGGAGCTGCAGTCCAATTTAACTTCCATGTTAAATATGCTAGTCTTACATACCTGGGTACTTTCTCTTTACCATATTTCCTGTATTTGATACCATTGAAAATGTTTTTTAATACTGATATTATAGGCAGACAAATGACTGTGAGATGTTAGAAATCACAAGAGCGTCCATAATTTCAGGACTGGTTTGCGGCGCTCGGCAGGGTGGCTGCATATGACGACATAACTTGACATGTTAATTGCTATTGAACTTCGTTAACATTTGTTTGACATTGTATGAATACATGCACGGCACAGAGCAATATAATTAGTTGGAGGTTGTTGACTCCGGCTGAATACGGTGGCTCGAGGTTATGATTAGGAGCAGCATTTATCATGGCAGGGTATATATTGTGGTCATGTCCTCTCATTCAGTGTGGCTTTGTGGCACAAGGCAGTAAAACTGCCTGTGCCAAAGCACACCTTATATTATCCATCGGGCTTAATCATACTATTAACTAGAAAATTCCTAAAGAAATTTTGACAGTGTGGCTTCTACTGCCCGAAGAAATCACAATATATACACACGCCAATGTTACCGGTAGTGTCATTCAGGTTCAATTGAGATAGCGCTACTCTCTTTTCTGTCTGCATTTTAGATTCATACTCTTGGATTGAATCTTGTATTTGTGGGGCTTTTATTTTGAAAGGGTGGGACTGGGTGGGTGAGAGAGGGGGAGAGGAGACAGAATCATAATGTTTGACACTAAAATGAGAGGCTTCATCACAAGCATTCCAGTTAGAATTCATTCTGTGGGGCTTTTAATTTGAAATGGGGTGGGGGGTGGGGGGTGAGAGGGGAAAAGTCCTCTAAAAATATCTAAGACCTGAATGACTGTATGATAGAGAGAGACACAGAGAGGGAGAGAGAGAGACTGATTGAGTGAGTGGGAGAGAGAGACAGGCAGACAGACAGTTAGATGGACTTAACAGATTGTGTTGTGTTAACAGAAACATGGTGTCAAAATGATTTACTCACTCACTGTCCTCCAGGATATAATGAAGTCATGGTGCCCTCTATCAAATTTAAAAACACTGTGGAGTGGAGGCCTGAGATGGCTGTCTACACAGCAGCAACATACATTTTGTAAATATAATATATGCGGAAAACTACAAAAAGTAAATTAAGTCAAGAAATACATATCAAATGACACATGCGAGTCTTCCTTTTTTATTTAATTCTTTTGTTTCTTTGACAGTTTCCCCCCCCTCCAAAATCAATGAAATACTCGTGTCATTCTTCAGGGCATGGACTACCTTGCCACTAAGCGATACATCCACAGAGACCTGGCCACTCGGAACATTCTGGTGGAGAGCGAGATGAGGGTGAAGATCGGTGATTTTGGCCTGACCAAGGTGCTGCCGCATGACAAAGAGTACTACACCGTCAGAGAGCCGGGGGAAAGCCCCATCTTTTGGTGAGGAAGACACACTGCGTGTGTTTGTTACAAGTATTTTAGCTTTTCTACAGGTATTCTTTTTTCTACAGTTCTACATTATTGTGACAAGGCGTTAAAAAGTAAGATCATGGGATTCACAGTAGTTTTTGTACTGTTTCGTTCATGCCTTCATATCTGTCTGCTTGTATTGTAGGATTAGTGTTGACCGTTTAAAGATGTGTGCATCGTTATGTATGTTATGTACAATGTGTTGTGGTATTTTCCAGGTATGCTCCAGAGTCGCTGACAGAGAGCAAGTTCTCTGTGGGATCAGACGTTTGGAGTTTCGGTGTTGTCCTCTACGAACTCTTCACTTGCAGTGATAAGAACTGCAGCCCTCCTGCGGTACTGCACTTTCTTTCTTTTTTTAGTTTGACAATTTGACTTCTCTCTTATGCAACCTTTTTGTTATTCTACCCTTAATTGCTTTGTCAACTTTAATTAAGCTACAAAAATGGGCCAGTGTAATTAGTTTGTAGTGTTGTTAAAGAAATCAGTTGATTGAGCTCTCTGCTCAGCAGTAGAGCAAAGTACTTCAAAACAAGAAACACTTCTCGTAATTTTTTTTGGGGGGGCAGTGTTAATGTTTTACCAAACTGTTTTCACTGAAGCCAAACAAGAACTACTGTTTGTCTGCTCCAGGTGTTTATGGACAAGATGGGACATGAAAAGCAGGGCCAGATGATTGTCTACCATCTGATAGACCTGCTCAAACGGGGATATCGGCTGCCTGATCCTGCTAATTGTCCAAAGGAGGTCAGTAAAAGTTGTTGTTTTTAAACGGCGAAACAAATCTTTTTGTTTTTTTGTTTTATTAAAAATGTGTCTTGGTTCAAACACTTAAAGAAATAGAGAATAAAGAAATTATGATTCTTAGCTCCAAGCAGAAAAGGGCACCGTGTCATATCATTAAAAGGCGTATCCAATATGCATCTGATAATGAATGAACCCTCTAATCCTAAAAAGATAAAGGTCAAAACATGGCTGTAAAACCGTGTCAAAGTAGAATGAAATAATTGTTTGTGCTCCTGATGTTTCCTTCAGATTCTCAAGATCATGTCGGACTGCTGGAGCAGTGAACCGAGACTGCGCCCTACTTTCAAGAAATTAATCCACAGTGTGGAGACTATACGTCTCGTAGATGAGCCGCATTGATCCCTTAACCTTTGACCTTTAGGTGTTGACCACAGTCAGACCTCAAAGATCTGAACAGAACAATAAATGTCTTTGTGGTGTCTGGGTGTACTGCAGTGATGCGCTCACTAGTCGGACATACACGTGTTTTCTGTTGGTGCTCTTTGACGCTTATTCAAATAAGGAGGATGAATGGTGATATCCACTTTCTTGGCAGTTTACCTACTTCTTTCTCACAAATTGTTATAAATTATTTGATTAATTAGTACACTACATCCAACTCAAGACACCAAAACAAACAGATGTCAGATACCTTTAAGAACATTTCATTATGAGATTTAAATTTCATTCTTTTCTTTGTGTTATTTGTACATTTGTTGTTTTACAAATTTAATATGACGAGTCACAGACTGGAGAAGTGTGCTGTAAGATTTTCTCTGACTTGTGCTGAATGTTTAATTAACCCTCAGTGTCGGGAACAAAAATGTATAAATCACCGACAAGCGGCATTGCATCAGTTAATGCTCAGTGCTTTGATTGTTGTAAACCTCACTGCACGGCTCTTGTGTGGGCGAACTTTTAGGGACTTGAACCGAGCAGGGGTCCTCCTGCTGACACCCAGACAGACTTCTGCTTGATGGTTTCCAGTTACATTTCAGCTGTTACAGTGGACTTGTGTTTTCCACATAATCATTTGCACCTCGAGGATGAGTCTATGTTGTCTGAGCTGATGAAGCAGCAGAAGCACCCACAGTCCTTTTTGAGTGATGTTGGTTTGCTGGGACTACACATCAGTGACCAGACTTGAAAGAAATACGCAGTTATTTGTCAAATACATGATAGAGACAGTAATAACTGCTCAGTCATCTCTTTGAAAACTGTGTATCTAATAGTGTCATATCATGGACTCATACAGTATAATTCTTGTATAAATACAGTATGAAGTTTTCAGTGTTATAAGGCTATACTATCTGCCTGTACTGTAGATACCTAATGTGAAAAGTTGAAGTTTATCTTGGTGGAGAAAATAATAATGAAGGGAGGTGCTTTTATTTAGCTAGCAGTAGCTAGCTAAATAACTATTCAGTAGCTTGTTGTGAGGGTTCTATTTAAAACTTTGACTTTTGTTCACGTCATTGCTTTTCCACCATTTCAAAGCTGTTGAGGATCTTGTGTAAATGTTGAATATGAGTCTGTGTCATGATGTGCATTACATTGTCAGCCACAAAGGTATTGTATGTTTGTTTTTTGTTTTTTAACTTAATGGATGGTGCATCGGTCATCTCCTCAGTCCCCGAGCAGAGTTATTTGTGGAACAGCATCTTTCTTTCCCATTTTGAAACTTAAAAAACAACCACTTTCCAAAGTTTTGTTTTTATGCCATTAAGAGGTTGGCCATATGCTGGGACATGCACCAAATGTCAAAGCATGGATGCCCTCTCACATCGCTAAAGATGAGTCACTGTAAAGTTTTCTCAATAACAAACTCACAGTGTGTCTGTAAGCTCCTACGCTCTCAAGCTTTGGCCGGTATCACTCCGGTCTGAACATTTTGTTCACATCAAGTCTGTTGTGAATGAGAGGAGTTTCTTGGAAGTTGCTAAATAATGACAAGATGGGAAATGTTGCTGCCTCACAGGTTCCCCCCCCCCCCCCCCCAAAAAAAAAATGTTTTTACTCATACGACCATTAATGTGATATATGTACATTGGTGTGTAAAACCAAATATGATTATTTTGTGATCCATGTATAACTTTTTATCCAAGGTTTTCAGAAAAACATATCTATTTATTTCAATTTCTGTTTGTTTGACATTAAGCCTGGTTCTGTCATCTGATAGCAACTTGCAGCTACCTTTATGTGTAGAAAGATGTAAATATTAAGTTGATTAATAAGAATAAAATGGATATTTAGTATATTCCACGTGTGTAATTTACATTTCTTAAACCAAACACATTGTAGTACTATGGACATGAAAATTGTACTTTTTAAATCTAAATGCGACTTGTTTTTTACATTTTTATTACATTGTACCTTCAGTCAAACAGCTAATAGGCTTTTCTGGGTTTTGTTCAAGGGGTTAAATATTTATTTGTTTTATCTGCGTCATTAAGGGTTAAAAAATCCAAGCTGCTCTTTTGCAGTAGTGTCCTTGGGGTGTTAACAGAAAATGATCAGGCAGACTTAATGCTGTGAACAGAGGCCAGCAATAAGTTCACAGCAGCCTAAATGACATTAATGTGCGATATTGGCCTTTGCTGGTACAACCGTAGTTTAGTTGAATAATCTAATGTGGAATATGGATTCTGTTTTGTGCTCCAAATCCAGCATATAAACAAGTGTGGGAGACAACACATGACACGGCTCCACATTTCATATTAACACAGCATTTAAAATTTATTTTCAATGACGCTGAAAGAGTGATAATACCGTACATACAGAACATGATTTTTTTTTTTTTTAAAAACAAAATATCAAGTAAAGGGAATAAAGAAAATTTGAGGCTACTTCTAGCCTATTAAAGAGCAGATGTGAACTCTCCTCCTACGTCTCTCCACGACTGTGGACACCGTCCCTCCCCAATCCCTCCTCCTCCTCCTCCTACCCCCCCACTCCTCCGTGCCTCAACACAAGCGTCCGATATCATTCTTGCTGCAGCCGTGGTTACAGCACTTTCCCGCCACACCCAGAGAAAAGTTCCTCTTCATCTTGCTGTGTATGGGCCCGTCAGCTGCTGCTCGGCTACCGTCTCGCTCGCCTAAAACTGTGGACGAACGAAGGGCCAAGTCAGTCAGCGACAGCTGCTGCTGCCGGTCCCCTCTGGCCCCGTATAGAGCCAGCAGGTCTGCCAGGGAGTGAGCGTGGCCGACTCTGAGAGGAGAAAGATCGTCTGCTGTGAGCTCTGGGCCGGACTGCCAGGTGTGCTGGTTGTCCTCCACTGTAACATCACTGAGGGAACTCCACCTGAAGGGATCTGGAGAAAAAGGACAGATAAATAATAACATGAGTTGAATATAGAGATTACAGTCCATCGTTTTTCAAATGCACCTTCAGTTATTGTAAAAATATATTCAAAGATCAGAACATGTTTAGAAAAAGGTGCTTTTAGGAGGACACTGAAATAATAGTTATTACTCACGAAAAGGGTTTGTGCAATTACCAATGAACATGAGCTGACCATGGTGCTGAAATACAAGGCTCTGTCAATCAGCTGTCTAACTGAAATGCAGGGGGGGGGGGGGGGGCTGATTACCTTTTTATGTGTAATAACTCACCATCTACAGTAACGTGCTCGCAAATTAGAAATACATTTCACAGAGTTTAAAGACATGTTTCAACACAGTCAGAAGTTGATTGCTGAGTTGAGTGCTGATATTTTTTTTTTTTTAGAAATACGTACACTTGACCAATTTTTGTGCACAAATTAAGCAATTAGTGAAAAGGCAGTAATGTTGACTCACCTTTGTCCGCCTCCGTGGATCGTCTCCACCGGGAGCCGCCGCAGGTGAAAATGACCGCTCGGATGAACTCTCTCCCGCACAGTTTCACGCCGTAGTCCCTCGGTAGGATCAACCTGTCCATCAGGTCCGCCTTCCCACAGTTGCAGATGCCACCGACACACACCACAGCCACGGCAAGAGTCAACCAGAGCATTTTCACTTGAAACTAACAGAACGAGTTGGCTGGTTTGCGCTGCACAGGAGGGTCAAGATGAGCTCCACCTCAGATCTGGACAGAGTTTCCAATCCTGTTAGTTTCCTTGTTGTTTTCTTTCTGTTAGAAGAGTTATGTTGCAGCCAAATGCTGAAGTTGTAAGTGTTGTTGTGTTGCAGAGCAGGCTCTGGTTTCCTCTTTTTGTTCTCTCTGTAAACCTAGTCACTGGTTCACTCATCAACCTATGCATCCAACCCCAACCCCTCTCACTCCCCCCTCCCTCCCTCCCTCTCACGTCTTTTAGATGGATGACAATGACGTACATGCAGTTATTTCTTTATTGTAATAATATTAGGGGAATATTTCATTGTGAAGTGTGCACATTACTCATACACTAGTTTCAATTATGATTTTGAGACAAAAAATGTGAAGGCATGTCTTGTGCACGTCACTGGGGAAGAAATTAAGACTTTAAGTACTTTAGGCTTTTATATGATATCGATGTAAAAGCAAAGTTAGGTGTTTTCTACAAGTTAGTGGCTTGTCACAAAATATGGTTGTAGAAGAGAAAGTATTGGCAATATTTATTTTTATTGGATTTTCAAATATAGCTTCCATGAGTTAACATTATGATAAATAAACAATGCATAAATATCAGCACCGTGTAATATTTTACATCCGCTGAATACAACTTGGATAATAAAAAGGTGCAGCAATGCTTCAGCTTTGCGGTAAAGCTCCTAAGCACTCATATTGGACCGTGGCAAATTAACTCTTTCAGAAACAATGACCAAAAGGTTTAGTGACAGTTTGGAGCAATAACAATCTTCCGCTGTCATGACAAATGTCTGCAGTGTTGCATATCTCTTATATTAACATTTTGATCACTCTGTTCATCCGTGTTTGTGAGCCGAACTAGAGCTAAAAAAAACGTGAGTATTGCATTCCTATACACAGAGATTGTCAAGTTGTTTTTTGTTTACTAAAACAACCTCAGACTTTGTAGAGGTGATGTTACTGTGACAGCGTTTTAAAGTTGTTCTGCCCTCTAGTGGTCAACATCGCTTAATGCAGCTTTAATTAACAGCACGATTAACAAGCGAACACAATCTGTTGAGATGAACGCAGTGTCCCAATTCCATATTGCATACTGAGGCTAAGCTGCTTTTTAGTATGTGGTGAGTTAAAACTGGGAAAGTTACAAAAAGCACAGCTGAAATATTGGAAATCCATTAATATTAAAAAGCATTTACACACCATAGCATACTGTATATAAGTAGAATATATTCTGGATTTGGAAGGCAGCATTCATTTTGAGTCAGTATACAATAATCTTGCGTGAATGACATTAAAATGGTAATGTAATGATGCGAATATTCATGTTACAGATCTATTCAATGCTATACTACAGTGCTGACAGTATATTACTAACTTAAGCAATTTGTTTGGCTTAAGTATATGTGTTTGGCCACTTGCGCACCTCAAATAACAACCACCACAAATGAATAATTTTTACATTCATTAATATTGAGGCTTATTTGACTCAAGGTCCATGATAAAGAATTAGTGCAAACCATAGACTCAATAATGTCAAAAAGACAGTTGGCAGTTTTTCTTCAGCAAAAGCAGGAAGGGTGAATGCATCGACTGGACTTTTGGGATTTTGTCTCAAATAACCAACACGTCATTTCTCCAAGAAGGAGGCGAGGCTGCTTCGAGCGCGGCGGGCTTTCTCTATGCTATCGAAAGTTGGAGTCCCGTGAGGAAGGTCCAGACGGCCATGTTCAGACGTCATAATACTCTCAGCCTCCCCTGAAGGTACAACGGGGGGGAAAAAAACAGTGTGGGATATTGTGGCAGTGAAAACAACTATTGTTGTCCTCCACGCTGCAGCAGTTTAAATAAGCCAGTTCATTTATTATGCGTCAGTTAATTAACAGTAGTTATTAGGTTTCCGCCTTCCAAGTGTGCACTAATGGCAGAGAAACATTAAGGAATGGAGATGAGGTTTAATAAATATATATCTCTATCTATCTATCTATCTATCTATCTATCTATATCTATATCTATATATATATATATTCACACCCCCAAAAAGATTTGGGCAAAATAGGTATAGACATACATAAACTTAAAGGTATTATTGTTTAATAAACGTTGGTAATTGTGGAGAGTAGATCTTGAAAAGTAAAAGATAACCGACACGACTTTGCTTGTGTGTGGAAGTGACGATAATAATAATAACGACGTAGTCCTACCTCTTAGGCGATAAATAAGTGTCCCGTAGGCGCTGTCCATCTGGTAGGCCAATATAAAGCTGAGAGGGACGACGGGAGCCAATAGGAGTGGTTTCTTTCTTTTAAGGGCACTGAAAAAAAATGACAAAGAAAAAAAGATCAACTCAGTATCTCCCACTGTAATGATGTGATGAAAGGAGAAATAAAAGCACTCAGAGAATGCATACTTCCATTTTGGCTACACAATTATATTTAATTTCAGAAAATTGAATCCGATATTTTCATTACAATACACAGCAACACAGAGGGCCATTATGTTGACATTTTAAAATGTTTGTAATACCCAAATCCTGGGAATATAGAAGGATAAATTGTGGAAAATGTCACGTGAATTAGACCTACAACCACGCATGAATGATTTGTCATGTAGCCGTAGCGCCAACTATAGGAGGCTTGTGATTTTTAGCAAGACTGTAAGAGCTGCACAGTTAAACTTTATGTGACGAACGTCCTACATGGAGCTGCACCAGTAAAGGCTACGAGACTGTGATGACTTTAATACTGAGGAAGACGTACAGCTGTCATACACACTGGTGCAGGTTGTTCTCTCACTGTGCATTATGAGGTTGAGTTATTATTATTACTGGGTCTTTGTTTGTGCGTGTTAGAAACAAGAGATCGCCTCTGGGTGAATGTTGACTGTAAGCCAAACACCTTTGAGCTGATCTCTATGAGCAGTCGTGTAGTGAACTCACCCTAAGGTGAGCCCAACTGTAGTCACTGCGTAGAAAGCCCCAAAGTAATTGAGAAATTCTCTGGACCAGGCGACCTGCATAGCCATCTGTCTCTCCCTCATCTGGTTCTGCATCAGGATCTGACGCTCCATCTACACACACACACACACACACACACACACACACACACACACACACACA